ACAGTCGATTTTTTCTTCAGACTTTTCCCGTTTGTCTCTTTCCCTCAAACCAGTTAATATTTTATGACTTGGGGCTCCCCGCGTGCTAGTTTGTACGTGAAGTGTGTGGGTTACAGTGAGGGCTGCGTCCCACCCGCCTGTGTGGATTCACAGGAAGTGTGAGTTACGAAGTCTGAAGAAAACGTTGAACAGTCTCTGCTGGGATGACGACTACACCATAGCTCAGTGGTTAGAGCATCGCTGGCTACAAGCGAGGGTCCCTGGTTCGAGTCCTGGTGGTGACAGTCGATTTTTTCTTCAGACTTTTCCCGTTTGTCTCTTTCCCTCAAACCAGTTAATATTTTATGACTTGGGGCTCCCCGCGTGCTAGTTTGTACGTGAAGTGTGTGGGTTACAGTGAGGGCTGCGTCCCACCCGCCTGTGTGGATTCACAGGAAGTGTGAGTTACGAAGTCTGAAGAAAACGTTGAACAGTCTCTGCTGGGATGACGACTACACCATAGCTCAGTGGTTAGAGCATCGCTGGCTACAAGCGAGGGTCCCTGGTTCGAGTCCTGGTGGTGACAGTCGATTTTTTCTTCAGACTTTTCCCGTTTGTCTCTTTCCCTCAAACCAGTTAATATTTTATGACTTGGGGCTCCCCGCGTGCTAGTTTGTACGTGAAGTGTGTGGGTTACAGTGAGGGCTGCGTCCCACCCGCCTGTGTGGATTCACAGGAAGTGTGAGTTACGAAGTCTGAAGAAAACGTTGAACAGTCTCTGCTGGGATGACGACTACACCATAGCTCAGTGGTTAGAGCATCGCTGGCTACAAGCGAGGGTCCCTGGTTCGAGTCCTGGTGGTGACAGTCGATTTTTTCTTCAGACTTTTCCCGTTTGTCTCTTTCCCTCAAACCAGTTAATTAATATTATTATTATTATTATTATTATTATTATTATGCCTGTGTGGATTCACAGGAAGTGTGAGTTACGAAGTCTGAAGAAAACGTTGAACGGCCTCTGCTGGGATGACGACTACACCATAGCTCAGTGGTTAGAGCATCGCTGGCTACAAGCGAGGGTCCCTGGTTCGAGTCCTGGTGGTGACAGTCAATTTTTTCTTCAGACTTTTCCCGTTTGTCTCTTTCCCTCAAACCAGTTAATATTATTATTATTATTAAATTTTTGATAGGGCAATCCCCACAGGCCTAAGGCCTTCTTACAGGGTACCCTAAATGTGCCAATACATACCGCATTTTCCGGAGTATAGTGCGCACCTTTGTATAACGCGCACCCCCAATCTTCATCGGGGGTGCGCACTTCAATCTTCATCGAAGTACACTGTACATGCATTTCATATTCGGAGCACAGTGCGCACCTGCGATTTAGGGCCTAAAATAACACAATGTCATCTAAAGTGCGCACTATACTCCGGAAAATACGGTACATCACGATTAGCCTGGTTTCAAGTCTTTGTTTTGACTTTCCAAACCGGCTCCCCACAAGCCACATGAAGCGCATCACAAGAACCGCTCGGAACTCACCGTCTTCTAGAGATGCAATGTGTTCCTCGGTCTCATCGAGTCGCTTCAGTTGTCGGTCTCGTATCCTATACTATAGGCTGAGTATAGCTAGTCTTGATGCGACGGACTCGTCCGTCCACTGTCGGCTGGCGTGCCGATAGCGTTCTCCGCTCACACCGACACAGGCGACTCGAGGACGCCTGACTTGGGAGATGAACCACCTAACATAGTCATTCAGTGCGCTAGTGGACGCCCGCCAACTATTACTTGCGGCCCGGCAGCAGCGGAGAAGTGGCGGATACGACAATGCTAGCATATGACTGCTTGAGGTAGGCGATGAGTAGAATCCTGGTGTTGAGCGTTCTCTGTCCGTCTCTTCTCCTGTTTGGGGTTGGCTTCGAAGTTCGAGTAGAGAGCACGTTCGACCGTGGCGCAAGGCGGCTGTAGCACGTCGTCCTTTGCATTCCGGTCGGTCTTGCGTCTCCAGTGCCTTCATAGAATGAAGTAACAGTTGAAGACACCACTGCAGCTGTACTAATATGGTTGATAAAATGGTGGTAAAGACACACCTGGCAATATGGCGGTAAATACACGCCTGCCCACACACGCTCTCTAGGCTGCAGAGTTCTGGCACAGAGCTCTCCTTCTCACCACCACCACCATCAGTTCGCGCCTGGCGCCTAGTCGATGCATGGTTGGCGGTATCCGTTCATAGCAGGAAATATGAAGAAGAGAAACTTTTTAATTGGTGGCTGGTCCGACCTTTGTCAACGAACACCGGTCCGTGGTCATTCAGTTTCACTGAGGTTTTAACCAGGGAGTAGTACAATATGGTATTGTACTACTCTCTGGCTCTAACGTCGACCGAGCCGTGCCTGTGGCAGTGTGGGGCCGCCGAAACGCCAACATATCATTACCGGTAGTATCAAGCAGAGAGTAGTACAATAATATTATTGTATTTCGATTTTGACAGCATGTTACAAGGCGAGGACGCGTAGTGCTCCTGACTACAACCATAACCCGGTTGGCAGAGTCCCGGTCTTGGCAAGACCGGGACTCTGCCAACCGGGTTATGGTTGTAGTCAGGAGCACTACGCGTCCTCGCCTTGTAACATGCTGTCAAAATCGAAAAACATGTTAAACTACCAAGCAAGGCTTCTGTATATTGTATTACTCCCTGGTATCAAGAGTACATAACCCCCCGTACTCTTGGTAGTATCCTACAACAATAACAACAGTTGCACAGTGTTGTGCAGTTCTAAACAGTTGTAGAAACACTGGGGCAACACAAGTAACAGTTCTCAATGATGAGTCGGTGAAGAATACTTGTGCTGCCTCTGCGGCCGCCAAGAGTAACCCAGTACAGACTGTGAGTAGCGACCAGGTTGGCAGCATCCATCACCTGAAATCTCTCAACAACTGCTCACGTGACCACATAATCAGGGCGTCGTCAAAGCGAGCACTTCATGTTGTGAAACAGACCAACTAAACTCATACTCATAGTCTACAGTTTGCATGGTTTCCAAGGCCAACTACTTAGTATGTTACTTCCGCCAAGGCTATGCTGAAGTCAGAACGGGACTGACTCCGAAGAAGGTCCTGCATTGAAAGCTGAAGAGGAAAGCCACAGCTCACTGAAAATGCGATCGAGTCACTCAAGTCGCGCTGCCGGCGGCAGCGCCGCAAGGAGGGAGTCGACGAAAAGAACAAGGTTGTCGGCCAAAATGTCAGACGGCGAAAAAGGCTGCCGGCGAACGGGGTTGTCGTCGAACAGGTTTCGACGAACTGTCGTTCGTCCAACAGGTTGTCCGCTAACAGTCGTGACACCGCCGTAGTGCAGCGCAGCCTGCGAAAACTGGGCTGAGAAATGTTGTGCAAGGCGCAAACAACTAATTAGTTACATGTAGGTTACCAATCATATTTTCAAAACGAAATGTTTTCGTTTGGGGGTGCACCGGTGGGTGGGTTTGATGGAGTTTCGTTTTGAAAATAATTATTGAATGCAGATGGAGAATGTCCAGTTACTTCTGGGTGTCGAAAATTGACATCAATATTTTATTGGAATTCGTTTTACCTGCAGAAAAGATGGGTGGGTGGGTGGGGCTGAAAAATACTAAAACTTTTCATTTTAACTGGTTTGAGGGAAAGAGACAAACGTTTTCATTTTGTAAAAACAATCGGTAACCCCGGACGGCCCCTTATGCGCCGCGATACTTACTTGACTCACGACGTGACCATGATGAGCGGTGGTGGTGATCATGGTGACCGGTGGTGGTGGGGGTTCAACGGTGCCCGGTACGCGGTGGTGGTGAGCTGAGGGGAGCAGAAAAGTGTTCGTCTGGCAGTACCTCTTCTTTGATGTCTTTCAGTGTTAAAAAAAGTTTTAACACTCGCAACGCTGGACCCCAAGTTCCCAACGAAGCTCTAGCTCAATTACCGTACTAATAGCAAGAGTACATAACCCTCTTGCTATTGGTATTAGCAAGAGTGCATAAACAGTGTTTATGTACTCTTGGTATTAGCAAGAGTACACTTTTGGTTTATGTACTCTTGGTATCAGCAAGAGAACACTCCTGGTTCATGTACTCTTGGTACATTTTTGGTTTATGTACTCTTGGTGCTAGCGAGCAAGAACGCTTGAGGCTAGCGCTTGGACAAGTACCGATACGTTTCGCCGCACATGCTGCAGACTGATTTGCGAACATGATGACTATAAGATCAAGGAAAAACCTCATCGGTGTCAAGGAAACTGTTTACCTAAAACAGAAAATTGGCAAGTATGTTCTGTTCCTTGTGAAAAACAACTGAGCTGTGAAAATCGTCCCCAGCAAATCCAGCTGGTATGATCTGAGCACTTTTTGGAGTCACAGTGAGGACTGTGTTGCCATGATGTTGAGTGACCTAACAGTACATTACACCAAGAGTACATAACCAGGGAGTCGTAAAATACCGGTATTTTACGACTCCCTGTACATAACCAATGGTTACACAAGAGAGAGTTTGGAAGCTTTGTTACAACCAGGGAGTCGTAAAATACCGGTGTTTTACGACTCCCTGGTTACAACTGAGTTTCACGTATTACTACGATCATCAGGCAACCTATGGTTATGCACTCTTGATTACACCCTACTGCGTCCCGTTCGCTCTGCACGTGCACGTACGTGTGTGTGTGTGGTTTGTGCGTGCGTGCGTGTGTGTTTCACCGTTTTTCCGAGGCAATTTTTCACTATCATCCTGAGAGTGCTGATGTGGTGATGGAGTTCCACGGGAAGAAAGTGGACACGCAGTATGTCACTGTCGCCATCGGATGTCCACACAGATGGACGGCGGCACACACACACGCACACACACCACACATACACACACACAGCCATACACAGGTACTACTCCCCGCACGCACGCACAGACAAGACAAAGCGGAACAACAGTACCGTATTCGGTGTGATAACTGCGATGCGTTACCCGAGCAGATACGCAATCACAGATCATCCCAACTGTCATCCCAAGCTCCTGCAGTTCTGGGCAAGGAATGCTCCAGAGAAAATATACACATGGGAAGGCCAGCAGCTAGCCTACAGAGAATACAATACGGCCAAACCGAACGAAAATTACTAATCGATGTGAAGATCACTGCAACACGACTGTCAAGAAACATCACAGTGCTGGAATGACAATGCCAGCACAGCTGACACGCAGAAAGAAAGCCAAAGAATAATCATCACGCACAAACATTGCCTACCCCGAACAGTACACCGATCGGAGTAGGAAGAGAAGCGCACGCTGCCGAGACAGAGAGTAGGGAAACTAAATATCCAGAAACAAGAAGAAGAAAAAACCTAAAACGGGACACTGCAGGGAGCCTGGTGATAGTAGGCCAGGGAATAATATACACCAGCACAGAAACATGATAACTGCTTGGCCTACGGGGATACAAAGATGGCAACCAGTGGGCAATAGGCAAGCTGGGGCCAAAAAGAAAGAACGGGCGAAAATAGCCATGGGGGGGGGGGGGGACACCGACTTTAGCGTCAGTAGGCAGGGGACAGGGTTAGAGGTGCAGGCCATTGAAAGATAACATCTTCAGGTAGAAGTTCCCCGTGGGCGTCCGCGTGGAGGAAGGGGAAAAAATAGATAGGACGGGAAATCGGGTGCGTGAACGCTTCCGTGTGGAGAAAATACTGCAGAACCTTGTCCGGCAAATACCGGCGGAATTAATGTCCGGGCGAAAATAGGAGCAGGACGAGACATGGCGGGTAGGAAAACTATAGGATCTAGATTGAAATAATCGATTGAAATTGGAAAATAGTCCTAAGGGGGAAGAGGATGGATGAGATAGCGATAGAGACCGGTTAGTGACTGGAGACGGTAATACAGAACGGTAGAGGATGGTAGCAATGGGACTGAGGCCCGGGCGGGCCACGGCGCTGGGCAAAATAGCGCGCACAACAGTCGAGGAGGAACAACGATGCGAGGGGCAACTGCGACGAAACTAAAGGCACGCCTGAAGACTAGACGATAAATGACAGGCGCCGCGCCGCGAAGAGAGTAAGAGAGGCTGGTCTGTTCAGACTAGGCGTACACCACACACGCAGCGACGGCCGGCAAGAGCCCAGGTCGGTGTCACTACATGACGAAGACAGCGATTCAAGACACACCCACGGGAACTGGCAGACGGCCGATACATATGCTTGAATGCCAGCGGGCCAGTGTGGCGTCGGCAGAGGCTAGGTGAGCTACTGAGTGATGGCACAGTCACATACCACCCAGGCAAGCTAACTGCTGTAGCAGAGAGTAAGCCTCGATACGTCACACCATGGGACACGGCTGCTGAAGAGGCTGGTGACGTGGTGCACAGATACCCATCCAGCAGAGCTGACCGGACGGTTTTCACATCATCATCGGACTTGGAAATGTCGACAAACAACAGATGAAGTGAAATCAGCTGTCAACTATTCACCAGTCTGCAGTACACAAACCAAGGAACGAACAAACAGACACACACGCACGCACACACAGACACGCACATGCATGCACGCACATACAAACACATACACATACGAATATTACATCAAGTGTGTCAGCTCAGCTGGCCCGTCACTGCACATCCAGTCTGCGTGGCTTTGCTGGTGCTAATGAATCCATCCGCATTCACACACGTACTTGCTTCGAGGCTCACTTAATACAATAACATCTCTCTCTCTCTCTCTCTCTCTCTCTCTCTCTCTCTCTCTCTCTCTCTCTCTCTCTCTCTCTCTCTCTCTCTCTCACTGAACAGCAACATACCACGACTAGAGCGTTGCCTTCTTTCAGGATGCTAACCGGTGCACTGTACAACACATAGAAGTAATCAGCAAGAGAAATGAGCGAAGCTGAACACATAGAAACACATCACGAGGGAACTGATCCACTCCAGTGTGTATCTCTATCCAACAAAGCTGGTTAAAATAGTCCACATTGTGATATTCAACTATATATGATGTGTCAAATGTGAGCATAAGAAATAATTTGCAGGCCACTCGCTCGAGAGTCGGAGTTGGCGGTTCATGCGTGAAGCATGCTGCTACAACCGGGCTGAGACAACTGCGGCACTGACTCTACCAGTACCGCTACACAACTGCTCACACAACTTACCCACTCTTGACCCGTACTGTGCCCTGTTTGTTGGCTGGCAGCGAGTGGTTGAATCTGAACACACGTACACGCAGAAAAATACACACGCACACATCCACAGTAAGACGTGGCTCGGGAGGTAAACACGTGGACGATACACGCGCAAGTACATACGCATGCGCACACATACACAAACAAACACACGGACACACACACTCAGAAGGAAGACATACCGGAAAGGCACACGCACAACTCGGGAAAACTACTGAACCAAGCGAGAGCAGGACGCAACGAAGATGAACACAGTTGAAAAATAAATAAACAACCTACAGTCAACTTTGCATATAACTACACTCGGCGGGGCATCAGAAAAGTGTCCTTATACCCGAAGTCTCATTATAACAGTTATCTATTACAGTTAGATGGGGGACTTTGCTCTAGGCATGGACATTCTGTCGTTATTCGCGAATTGTAGATTATATTCGCAGTCGTTATTAGTGCAGTGGACTGTACGTGTAGAACCGAGGACTTACTCGTCGGATGCAAACGTCACTACATCCATGTTGTTGCAGGATGAAGAAGCGAGAAGCGTGGCAAGCTCAATGACATGCTCTGATGACAAAAGCAAGTCACCCTGAAGACAACACGGCAACAAGAAACAAAGCTAGGATGGCACACCGCATCCGAACCAGCAGTACAGCAAGCAGCTAGTTTAAGGTACACAAGCCCCACTGCAGCCACTTCATTTATATAACACATGAAAAACCCAACACTCACCACCCTCAAATCCTCAAATCAAGTGGTCTTTTCGCTGCAAATTACAGTAATCTCAATCAAATTTTCGGCCTGGAGCCATCATCAGGATTGAAGAAAAAACAAACAAGTGATGTGGACCTATATCATGGAAGTGGAACGAAACTACACCATACATGATAAAAAAATAAAAAAATACAGCATCCTGGAGTCACAGGTACACACACACAGACACACACACACACACACACACACGCCTACAGTGCATTTCAAAACTATAGACGCGTAGGGTTTTTGAAATATTTCAAATTTGGCTGGAACTTTTTGAGAATAGTTTTCGGAATATTGCTCAGGATCGCTCCACAATTACTCTCATATAGTTTCTAAACGATTGGATAACAGACGCCCAATTTGGAAAAAATTATGCACAAAGTGATCACAGCGTTTACGTGGTATAGATGCTGGCATAACGGTTTTTGCCTAGGTACGCGTCTATAGTTTTGAAATGGACTGTAAACACACAGACACACACTCACACTCAGAATCACACTCATAGAACTGGACATACTGTACAAGCAGAAATATTCGTCTGGAATTTAATTTCGTCTTTTTCGTCCAATAAGCTTTTTGGACTAAATTAAATGCCAGACTAAAGTCGGTTTGTCCAGCTTTTCAATGCACTCTTATGATCCATGGACGAAATTTACAACTGGACGAACTCCCTTTCTTTGGAGTGGGACGAAATAATTGACCGACGAAATGTTCTGCCTGTACAGTAGTTAGGAAAACTGCAAACACATGCCGAAGCTCTTGAGGGACAATTCCTATGCAATTCCCAACTTATTCTCCATACAAACATGCAGACATGCCCTCTTGTTCCCAGTAGAAAGGAAGTTAGGTGTTCTATAGCACTGACGTCATCGGGGCATATTAACCTGATAGTCCTATGAACAAGAGTACATGAAAACCAGAGTGTGCAGCTCGGATGGGTTGCTGTCACGGCGGAATTCCGTGACTACATCATTTTAGTGATGTAGTGCGTACAAGCAGGATTCAAGCAGGTCTCTTTCTGCACAACTGCAGCTCAGTTGTACGCACTACGCCATTTCCCGCCTCAAATCTGCACCAAATTCACGGAATTCCGCCGTGACAGACACCCATAGTAGAAAAATCCCCAAGCTGCACACTCGGTTTTCATGTACTCTTGCTATTAACCCGAACCCTATCACCATGACGATAACCCTAATATTCCTAGTAACCCTAACCCTAATATTCCTGGTAACCCTATAGAGTAGAACCCGGGTTAAGGGATCGGAGCCCGGGGGGGGGGGGGGGGGGGGGGGGGGGGGATCACTTGGCACGTACATTGTGCGGGTGATCCTTATACCGGGATTTAATTTCCGGCCCAAGAGGGGGTCCCCCGTCGGTTTCCGAGGAAGCCGTAACTTTTTTCGCTCCAAACTATTTTTCCGGGGTCCATCTACTCACAAAAAGTCGTTTTGCACACCTTTTTGCCCATCCCTGTACAACTGAGTCCAGCTATGTCCGCGCAGAGTTAGGTGGACCCTTAACCCGGGTTCTACTCTAGCCATGATGATAACCTTAACCCTAATAGCCCTCGTAAGAGTCGTAACCCTATCACCATGACAATCCTATTACCATAGCAACTCTCCTCTTTTTATGTGTGCAGGGACTACAGCAGAAAAAATCCTCCTACGATTGCGTTTTAGTGTACAGATCACCATGACAACTCAGGTAACTCTAATAATCCTACTGTCAACTATCCTCTTTATGTGTACAGGTCCTATCGCTATGGTAACCCTATTAGTGTTTTATGAGCCCCGTACACACTCCCGTAAGATTGTCTTGCTAGATCTGCTCCTACAGTGAACAATTCTGTATATATCCCTAAATGTCATCTTAAATCTTCCAAAGACCCTCCTCTTGCTCTACCTGGCATTGAAAGCAACCTGTTAGAGTTTCGCCATAAGTTGTTCTCTAGCATTTCAGTTGCTCATAACGGAAAATGTGATTCATCTCCTACAGAATTGTCTGCTTACAATGATCTTAGAGATCGCACAGATATTAAAATCTGCCAAGCTGATAAAAACTTAGGTACAGTTATTTTGAATTCAGAAAATTACTCTGCTGAGTGTTATAGACAACTTTCCGATAAGAAGTTCCATCGCCAAGCCGACGTACAAGCGCAGCATCGTGTACGATGACGAGCTGGTTGCGGTGGAGTTTTTCAAGTGCAAAGTAGTCTTGAACAAACCTATCTCCGTGGGTTTCTCCATCCTGGAGTTGTCGAAGGTGCTGATGTACAGCTTCTTCTATGACACTCTCAAGCCGCGCTATGGCGAGAACGTGCGGCTGTGTTACACGGACACCGATTCGTTCATCCTACAGTACTCCACGGATGACCTGTATGCGGACATGAGTGACATGATGGATCAGTACGACACGTCCAACTATCCGGCTGATCATCCTCTACACTCCGTCGCAAACAAGAAAGTCGTCGGAAAATTCAAGGATGAGCTAGGTGGGTGCATCATGAGCGAGTTTGTAGGACTTCGCTCCAAGATGTACGCCTACACCGGTGAAGAGTCCGCGAAGCGTGCAACGGGTGTCAAGAAGTCAGTCGTAAACGACATCCTGCAGTTCTCCACGTACAAGGATCGCCTTCTGCGTGATCGGGAGAGCATCCAGAGAGAGAAGAACGTCCTACGCAGCCGGAACCATCACATCTACGGCGAAACCTTCCGCAAAGTGGCGCTATCACCGTTCGACAGCAAGAGGTGCATCCTCCACGACGGTGTGAGCACGCTTGCGCACGGACATTACAAGATGCCAGCATAAAACATTATTGCGTAGAGGCAGACCCTTCGCTCATTTCCTGAAATACATAGTTTTCTCATAATATGTTATTCAAAATGTGTTGTTCTTGCGCAACCGATTCACTGCCGATTTTCTTAGCCATTCATCAAACTTGGCCGGATAGCCCATGAAAGATACCAGAGACGTATCACGCTTCGTTTTTAATCCCTTTGTTCAGACTCAGACCAGTTTCTTTGGCTTGCTGCAATTCATTTTCATAGAAACCGCCTGTAAGTTCTTTATAGGGTTATCAGAATATTAGGGGCTATCGTCATGGTGATAGGGTTAATAGAACTATTAGGGTTAATATGCCCGGATTTTTAGGGTTAAATCGTAAAAATTCAGGGTATTAAAACCTGAAAATTTTAGGGTTAAACACCCAGATTTTTACGGTTAAACGCTAGTTTTAGTGTTAAATCGCATGACGTCATCGATGACGTCAGTGATAGGGAACACCTAACTTACTTTCTACTGTTCCCTCTCACCCTCAATCCTCAACCCACACTGCCTTTATGAACTGGAAAGAGCATGTCTTTCCTCTCGACACCCGTCCATACCTTGTCTCCTTTTCCCAGTGCATTGAACCCAATCATGACAAAGCCATCGGATAGCGACGTGACGGTGAGAGACTTGATGTTGCTCGGGCTGTGCTGTTCCTTGACGGCCATGTTCTTCGGGTCCATCAGCAGCACAGACTGCAAAACGGCAGCAGCCGTAAAACGACAACGACGCCACGAACAAGAACAACAACAGCATCAGCAGCGGCAGCAGCACAGACACAAATTACTACCAATAGTAAGGGTCTGTAAAGGAAAGAATTTTCATCTAAAGAGTGAATAGCAACTAAATAGAGCGGTTGTCAGTTGACAAACCCCCTTTTATTCTGTAAAGAATATGTTGCAGCTATTGTTTGGAGCGGACCAAACGTCAAGAACACTACTTTGGAGCTGACAATAAAAAAAATTCACGGTTCGCGTGAGACTCGGCCAAAGGCCCAGTTTTCCGCATCTGCAGGAACGCCACCACCCTCTTGGATCAAGGCGCAGATGCAGCTCCTAAGCGGTGGGAGGTGAGTAGATCAGACCCACCACAAAGTGGTCAAAGACCGAAATCCCATTCACTGCATCCATGGAGCTGACAAAGATACAAATAAATATTCTCATTATCCTCTCCTCCTTAGCTTCCGTCTCATGCCTCGGGCAGGAGAATACTAGCTGACTGACACGCAAGAAAGGTCTTAAGCAACCAATCTGTCGTCCGAGGATGTGTAGCTAATAGAGGCCAAACCAGCTTAGGAAGTTTTGCAAACGCCATGCTCACATCGTCGTGCCTGATTATCATTTTTTAAAAGATCCTATAAAGGAAAAACTACATGCTCTAGTTTTCAAACACTGTTGATGACAAGGTACCCAGGCTTACCGATGCAGTAGCGGCCAGGATACGCGGTCGAGGTTTGTAACCGTGACGATCGTACTTCACCACATGTGTAGCATACTGTTGTCGCATGCAACAATGACACACACAAACGCAATCACAACCACAACCGCAACACCACCATCACTAATAACAACAACAGCAGCAACAGCAACAACAGCAACAACACAACATGCAAATCTATTCTGAGCCGATTTAGACTTAATTTTGCACACAGGAAGCCATCGTCATGCATACGCGGCAGATGGGGCAAAGGAATTTGAACTCAAGTCAACTTTTTTTTTGCAGCTGCGGTCGTTGTTGCGCCCATTTCTCATACGCAAGATGAAGTATAAACCGAGTAAGAGTAAGTTCGTTAGCATCATATCACCGCAGGCATCCATCCGCTGTCAAGTCATCCTCTCGGCTAGGCATAGCAAGTTTCCCTGGGATTACTGCATTCTACAGGTTTCAAGGCTGCACGAGAAACACCAAACGTACGATCAAAGACTGTATTGTACTTGCTGATCCTCCCAACATCCAGGGAGTTCATCCAGTGAAAAGTCAGGTGTGAGATCAGGGTCACTATCAACAAAGAGAGGCCAGAGACACTCTGCACACACTACAAACAAATGTGTAACAAACTCACGACGATATCGGAAGGACCGTCGGTTGCTGTCTTTCCAACGACATCGTGCACGCGCTGTGTAAGTGCATCCTCTGCAGATACACGTACATGTGGCATTTCGGAGAGAGAGAGAGAGAGAGAGAGAGAGAGAGAGAGAGAGAGAGAGAGAGAGACCGACACACAAAGAGACACGTACACACCCGTACACACACAAAGAGAAACAAAGAGAGGATAAACACTCACCTCCTGGCACAGTCATATACAGTACATTGTATTGGGCAGCCTAGATTTCATCAAGCGCAGCATGCCAATGCATACACGGTGACTCAACTGTGCATAGACTGTAATACATGAAAATAAGAACGGTCTAGGCTAGGAGGTTGAACCCCCAGTTCTTCGGCGATTGACAGTGCTGTAGTTAAACACTGCTGTATTTCACCAGAAGAGATGACACGCACAATGTAGTCTTGATCTCACCTATCCTGCTCTGGCTGAACGGAGTCGGCACGGTGCTGCTATACACGGACTTCTTGTCCTTGAACGTGTCGCGGCAGGTCAGCTTCCACGTCAGCTGCTGCTTGCGCTCCGCGGTCAGCGAACGCACGTAGTGACGCACCAGCTTGCGCTGGTGCAGCGCGCGTAGCTGTGCGGACGCCTCCTGACAGACCAGCGGACACTCTGGCCAGGACTTGTCCAGGACGTCCTTGGGCAGTGCCGGCTTGAGACAGTGGACTAGCCACTGATGGCGAACTATGCGCACAAACTGCAGGACAAGAACAGCAGGAGCAGTAGCAGCAGCAGCAAAGGAGGAGAGGAAAACACACGTACACACATGCACACACATACGCACGCGCAAACACACACACACACGCACCAAGTTAGAACTTGTGACATAGCTGCCTCGGCATTTGGACAAAACACAGCAGTCAACAGAATGTGTTGAGTACGGACACTAGAAACAATAGCAGACCCGTCAGAGCACAACTGCACACACACACACACACACGTGCATACACACACGCACCTGCTTGTTGAATTCGTTGGGAGGCTGGTTTCGCATGATGAAACCTTTGATAAACCTACACAGTGCACAGAAAGAAACAGAAAACACACAAACAAATAAACGTCACCCCGAAAAACTGATAACTACACACTGCAAAAGGCAACCGTAGCTGACATTTGGTGCCCATGCTACCATTAGAAAGATCAACGAACAACAGATTCGGCTAAACAATGTCCCCCAGCCATAGAGACACGTGACTGCAGTCCAGGTGCTAATGCAAAGCTGATCTACGGCCGCAGAAGTTATTCACGAACAGCCAGAGTTCATAACCGGCGAAGACAGGCAAGAGTTCGCCACTCCTGGATAGTTCAAGTGCAGAGGCCTGCTCAGCGGATTTCGTCGTTCATTGATTGTGATGTGGCAGTATGGAGGATTTTCGCCGAGCACTGGGTCAATGCCAGTTGCAGACCTCGGGCGGGGAGAGAAGAGTGGATTCCTGGTGCATGACGTCAGCCACACACACATTACATCATTGATTGGACCCAAACACACACACACACAGCCATGCACAACACGGAACAGGACTCACTTGATAATCTCGTCGGCAGCGTTGCGACGGCGCTGGCGCAGACGACGAGCTACAAGTCGTTTCCAGTTCTTACTGAAAATGGTGACTGAACGGCAGGACAACAGCCACAGTGGACACAAACACACACAGATACATAGACACACACGCGCACGAGCATACATACACACATACACACACACACACACACACACACACACACACACACACACACACAAGCATACACACAGCAGAAGAAGATCACGGCGAGTTCCAAACTGCTGAAGTTGAGCAACAAAAACATGCCCTAAACACACACACACACACAAGGACATTCATCTTCAGACACATACACATACACACACACAACATCTCAAGCAGCACCTACCCGCAGCACGCACTCGCATGAAATGCTTTCTGGCAAGCACCTTGCGCGTCTGCGCTTGCAGCAGAGTTGCCAGCTCCACCTTGCGGTGGGCCAGCTTGTCTTCGATCTCGTACAGCTGTTTCGGGTTGCGAATGAACACCTTCGTCCTAGAAAGAAATGAACAAAGACAAATTATCTTGTCCAGGACAATCCACGCTGCAATAGCAAAGGGCATTACTCATTCTCCACACGTTAGGTACAATCTGGTTTGTGGACTCTTGATACCACCACCGCACCGCGCACATGCCACGTTGCCAGCGGAGAAAGTCTGGCATGATGGAAAGAGGTTGCCTACATTCCAGATGCGCTGGTATGGTGTCCACGAGCACCAAGTACAACAGCACTAACTTCTACGGAAACATGTCCAACATTTCAAAAATCAAGACCTAAAACCAAAGTGACTATCGGCTTGTACCTGCAAAATATGAAAACATTTGCCTAGCAAAAAGGTGACGGCCATCTTCGATACATACCTCCCACTGACAGGTTGATCAAAGTCATAAAGTTTTTGTTTCCGGGGCAAGAAAAGGCACAACAGTGGAGCAGGACCAACTAGCAGGGAGACGACACGCTGCACATCACTCACTTTCCGACTTTGAAGTCGGTGCTATTCCAGCCCATCTTGTCGGCAATGATCTGGCATGCCTGGGCCGGTGTTCCAGCCTTGTATGACGGCCACGTTTCCGTGCACAAACACTTGTACCTGAGCAGAGGCGAGAAAAGGAGAAAAAAAGAAAATAGCACCAACACGTTTAATAATTGCACGCACAGCCTGAAACACACTCCACTATGGAATTACAATGTGGCAGTGAAGGATTGTAGGCAAAAAGCGCACCAGCCACGCTCTCTGTACGCGTGCCAAGAAGATGTGGCAACACCGCTGCTCAAGAAACATGTGACATTCACTATGCCGTTCCTAATTCGGACCTGGCACAACCAGGCATCACCGCACTGACCCTTCCCAGCTTACCCACACAGCCAATCAATTGCTACTAACGATAGCAAGAGTACATAACCAACCCAAGAGTGTGCAACTCACACATACCTTGCTGTCCCGACAGATTTTCAAGTTGACGTCATTATTTATGACGCAATGCTCCTTGCACCAGTGATTTACAACATGTGACAGGTGTCAACGCATCACACGTTTTTCTTTGCAATAATTTGTACAGGATCATATGGGCTTTGGTCAACCACAGAATACGGATTCGTCTGATAATCCGTGTACAGCATTGCATCATAAAAATGACGTCAACTTGAAATTCTGTCGGGACAGCACCCATTGTCGAGTTGCACACTCTTGGGGGTATGTACTCTTGACGATAGCCAAAAAAAAGAATGCTTGACCAAAGCTCCGTGAGAACTCAGAGACGCAGACACACACACACACACACACACACACACACACACACACACAAGCACGCACAGGCACAGTACTGTCTTTTGTCGACGGCCGACGCCCCCGGAAATCCCCGAACTCTGGGTGGACTTGGAAACGACCCCCCCCCCCCCCCCCCCAAACACACACCTACACACACACACATAGCACAACGCATTAACCACTCACCGCTGGTAGAAGTAGTTGTAATCTCGGCGATACGCAAAGCCAGCGCGGCGAACACGCAAGTTCTCCATCAAACCCAGATACTTGACCTGATGGTGTACGAGCTCGTCATCAAAGATCACTGCAACAATGAAACACATATTCCAAGATGATAAGCACGATGCTGATATGAGCAAGAAGACAAATACTAGAAAACAACAATAGCTGGAGAAGTGTGTGTGTGTGTGTGTGTGTGTGTGTGTGTGTGTGTGTGTGTGTGTGTGTGTGTGTGTGTGTGTGTGTGTATGTGTGTGCGTGTGAGTGTGCGTTTGCAGAGCGACACAAAGCGATGCCGAAGTGTCCGAACTATCATCTAACAGGCATGCTGCCTTTCGAGGCATTGCCGAACAGCTGTGTGCGCAAAGACGTGTGCGTATGTGTTGGAGTTGGTGTGTGTGTGTTTTTGTGCGAATAAATACGAGCAGGCACGCACACACATATACAGCTCCGCAAAAGGTAACCGTGTCCAGTTGCCAGTGCGCGTGCACACACACACACACACACACGCACGCACACACACGCACATCCCTGGAGCAATGACGCAGACCGCAGCAGTATAGCAGAGCTTGCAGCACCCTACTCACCGGGAGATTTCTTGTTGTTTGGCTTGACACAGCGTACATAGGACGGTACCTTGGACTTGAGGATGTCTGCCAGCTTGTTCAAGCTGTTCTTGAACTGAGTACCAGCCTAATGCAGCAGGAGCAGTGGAACAACAACAAAGAACACTATTGCTGAGAACACTATTGCTGATGGCTACATTGTACACAGGTGCAAGTGCATAAGCATCTGATCATACATGGGTGCAGGCAGCCACTGACTCACACACCCACCACCCACCAATACACTAACACACCCACTCTCTACTACCACCACCCACATACTAACACATCCACTAATACCCCTCCCCCCATCCACCACGATCACGACTGGGGTGCTACTTACAATCGGGGAAATGCAGTACGCATACACATCACCAACATCACCACCAGCATTACCACTGCCAGCAGCACCACCGCCGCCGCCAGCACCATCACGACCACCAGCAGCACCAGCACCATCACGACCAAGACATGCAGGCGCGAGCGAAATCAACACAACAGCCGAGCATGCCCCCCCCCCCCCCCCCCTTACCAACACCCCATGACCTGTTACAGGACTAAAACCTTACAGTGAGCGGTCGCTTCTTGTCCAGAACCTCGGCTTTGGGGAAGATCTCACAGAGAATGGAGTTGGACGAGGACTGCATTGCTTCCTTGATGTCGCGGAACAGCAGGTCGTTGTTCTTCTCGATAAATCCCTTCACATTGTACGTCACGTCGCCGGCGTAATGAACCAGACGGAACTCCTGCAGGCAATAGGCGGCGTACAAACAGCAACAACGCAACAGCGCGGATAAGCCAGGAGGCGCAATGTATTCTCACCCTCGAGAGTCCCGTGATAGGCTTCTATATGCCTTTGGAAAATCCATAAAATAAAATGAAATGAATGATGAAGTGTGGATAATATGTGTACAAACTGGTCAGACAAAATGGCCGCTGCACAATGTATAGATCTGAAAAGCACCAAAACTACTCATGAAAGCAGCCGTTTGCTCCAGAAAAGTACACGGATGACACCGAGATGCCATCACGATGACACAAGTCATATGCTCCATACAGACTATTCGGGGGGAAGCGGCCTGCTCAGGGAACATAGTGTGGCACATAACAGTGTGAACGTTCCATTGGTGATGATCGCAGGACTCGGCGGAACGAGCTGGCCAACAAGATGTACAGTAGAGTGGTTGAGGAGAATGCGATGGGAAAGGAAAGACAGCTGATGGCATGCCCGGTGTGCTCTTGCAGGTAGTGATCATAGAGAGAGAGACACACACACTTACGTCACGTTCAATGGTCTTCTTGGCCTCACGATCTGCCAATTCAAAACTGCAGAACCGAAGGGAGGACAAGAAGATCACAAACAAGACGCTAGTCAAGTACAGCGTTTACTCCACGCAAGCACACACACGATGCACACATAAACATACCCCCCCCCCCCCCCCAGAGATCAGGACTCACTTTCAGAACTCCCGAGGCCAAACGGGGGTAAAAGGCCACAGGTGATAACTCAACACTAACAACACGATCGATGACATAGGTACGTATCAAAGCACACAGCAACCAAGCACACACATACAGGGCTCTACCGCCATGCCACTCACCAGACAAAATGGTCGTGTGCGCCAATGCCTGAGACCATCTTGTCCAGGAAGGAGGCATCGGTGACGGTTCCAGGTCGCGTGCATTCCTCATCCTGGAGTAATGGAGAAAGAACAGAAAAGAGTGGAAGTGAATGCGTGGACGATATGAACAAATACAAACACTTGGCTCTAATGGGGTAACCCAATAGCAAACTTACACACGTGTACACAGGCCGAAGACGAGAGAGGGGGAGAGGAGAGAGAGAGAGAGAGAGAGAGAGAGAGAGAGAGAGAGAGAGAGAGAGAGAGAGAGAGAGAGAGAGAGAGAGAGAGAGAGAAAGAGAGAGAGAGAGAGAGAGAGAGGGAGAGAGAGAGCACACATACCAGGAAAGAGACAATGCCCTTGCTCTTGTCCTCGATCAGATCAAGAATGATCTTGTTGTTGAAGTAGTCAATCTGCTCCCACTGTACATTGGAGGAAAGTAAAATCAGGAGAAGCAACAGAACGCTGATGAGAAACTGCAATCTGCAATGTTAAGTACACTACAACCAGAGCTCGTAAGTATGATAAGATGGCAGTGGACAAGCTTTTTTATTTTTATTTAAAGCTTGGTAATAAAGAATACAGCCTGTAAAAATGTAAAGAGTATAATCATCCAGTATCCATGTCCAGTATTTATAACAAGAATAATCTGCGGCAATTGAGTTCTCCTATGCGAGCAACCCAGTCGGAGTCCTCGGCAATAACCAGCTCAGCAGACTCTGGATACCACTTGTTATGCTCAGCACAGCACAGCATACTAGTTGCTGCATAGCAAGACACTACAAGGAAACAGAAGCATACCTCAATGCCCTCCTTGCTGTACTCTTCCTGCTCAAGCTTCAGTGTCAGCTCAATGAAGATCTGCTGGAGTTTCTCATTGCAGTAGTTGATGCAGAACTGCTCAAAACTGGAAATACACAAGCACGCACGGCACACACACACACACACGCATACGGCCAGGTACGCGCGCGCGCATATGACCAGGCATGCACAAACACAACAAAGAAACATCAGAATCAATGCACAGCAACATTACACAGACAGTTGTATTGAAATGAACAAAAGGTAATTTCAAACAACTACACGGAAATCACTCACCAATAACAACCCTTAGCAAGATGTTCGACTTTACAAGGAGGGTGTCATGTGACATGTGCATCTAGGACAGGGAAATTCCATATCGACAGGGTTGTTGTTGTTGTTGTTGTTGTTTTTTATTTGAATTCGCAATACCAAACGGGCAATAAGCCCAATTATATGGAAGCGAATAAAAGAATGCTAAGAATGAGGCATTGGGGTGGATGTTATTTCAAGTGGAAAATACTGATCCCGGGAGGTACTACAAATAGGTACAATGAAAATCTGAAAAGGCCATGGTACTGTCGTTTACCATGCTGGAAGCAGCTACATGGAGAAGGAAAAACAACAAGAAAGACGTTATATCTCATGTATTGGACAAACAGAGCTAACAGGAAAAGACCGTTCGTTAGGGTAACGTGTCAGTCCACTCAATCGTTGACTTGGACTCAAAGACACTGTAACGTGTCAGACAACTCACTCAAACATTGACTTGGAACACCTCAAAGACACTAACATATTATACAACTCACTCATCCGTTGACTTGGAACAACTCTAATACAGATTGACGTGTGACTGTCACCAAGAGTACATGAAAACCAGAGTGTGCAGCTCCGATGGGTTGTTGTCACGGCGAAATTCCGTGATTACATCATTTTTAGAGAATGCAGTGCGTACAAGCAGGATTCAAGCAGGTCTCTTTCTGCACGACTGCAGCTCAGCTGTACGCACTACGCCACTTCCCGCCTCAGAGCTGTACCAACTACAGTAAAACATGGGTTTAGCGACCACCTGCTCTTAACGACCGTCTTTCCATGCACAGACAATTCTACACAGACACTGTGGGACCTGGTTCTAAAGACCACCTGGCTTTAACGACCGCTTTTGCTTGCACCGTGGGGTGGTCGCTTAAACCAGGTCTTACTGTATGATGTAATCGGGGAATTTCGCCGTGACAGACACCCATGCAGAAAAAGTCAGAAGTTGCACATTCTGGGTTTCATGCACTCGTTGTATCAGACAACTCACTCACCCGTTGACTTGGAACACCTCAAAGCCGTAGATGTCGAGCAGGCCAATGACGGCGGTGTCGGAGCGCTTCACCTCCAGCGTGCGGTTGACGTGGCACACCAGCCAGCTGAACAGACGCTCGTAGATGGCCTTGCTCATGGCGTCGCGGCTGTACACCGCCTCCTCCAGGTTGAGCGGCGACGCCACCTTGTCGCCGCTCACCAGAATCGTCTTGTTCAGCATGGCGCTCTTGAACTGCGCACCGGATGAGCCAAGCAGCTGTGACAATGCAACAAGAACACGAAGAAACAGTTAGAAAAGGACAGGAGTCTTTGAAGTAAGGATGAGGCTTCTTGCAGTTTTAAGACAAGAGTCTTGGGGAATACAATTACAACATGAAACACACTACAGGCAAACCTGTGATACAGCAACGAAGGGCTACTTGTTGGCAGGGAGGGATCTTTCTCTTTATCTCATAGGCAAGACTGATGATTCATTCTAATTCAATGCGACTGACGTGTGCAGTTCAAACTGGCTGCCGGGTGAAGTGCGTGCTCAAGAATATAACTGCGGTGGATTGCATGAAATAAGTATGCGGGTGCATGCATGAGCACACATCCACCCACACACACACGAGTGCACGCGCACACACACATACCGTGATACGCACCCACCACAACGCAAATCAAAAATTGTAAGAGGTGCACGAACCTTGCCCACGAGCTCCGCCTTGTCGGCGTTGTCAATGACGACGCCACTCTCGGAGCCGCTCAGGTCCACGTTGCCAAGGTGCAAGATGGCGCCCACAATGTTGAAGATCTCCTCGATGTGCTTTGTGGAAAAGGCGAGCACTCGGAGTGCGTCCATGGTTTCCTTGTATTGCTCCTTATCTTTGATGGTGAAGACTGTCTCGGAACGCTCCTGTGCAAGGGATCACACACATGCACGAAAAAACAGGCTCGTCAGGAACGCACTTTCCGATCAAATCTCGTAAGCCTGGCACTCGCCGACTGCAGCTGGACAGCAACTGCACTAGGCCAATAAACCCATTGTGCATTGTCAAATATGGATTGCATGGGTAACGCATGCGAGTACGCTGGGATCGGGGATGCACTGTTCAACACGCCACACGACCATGCCCAAGTGGCTGTGTGGGGTGGTGTGTGAGTACGCTGGGATCAGGGATGCACTGTTCAACACGCCACACGACCATGCCCAAGTGGCTGTGTGGGGTGTTCGCGGCACAAAGTACGTCAGTGCGCTATGGGCTTATAGCTAGTGCTAAAGATCAATAGCTCCTCAGGGAACATCAAACACCCTTTTCTAAAGGCTACACTCGACCACAGCTAGTATGATATCGAACACATGACTGTATAACATTTCCAAAAGGGAGGAAGTCTGCTGGCAAAAAAAAACAGTGTAATGCCCAAATTTGGAATAGTCAGGGGATGAATACCAGAAGATTTCAACGGCAATGCTGGCAAAAAAAACAGTGTAACGCCCAAATTTGGAACAGTCAGGCGGTGAATATCAGTGGATTTCAAAGGCAATGACGAAGAATGCAAAGTGGCGTGTGTACAGTAAAACCTGTCAAGGTGACCACTCAATAAGGCGACCACCTGTCCCAGAAGACCACTGCAACCAGGAGTAAGGGATGCTACTAGTATTTCCAGTCAAATGACCCTGGATACGGAGACCACCTGGTAACAGAGACCACGTTTTGATGGTCCCTTGAGCGGTGGTCGTCTTAGACAGGGTTTGCTGTATGCCTATGAGTAGGGCAGACATGCAAGTGATGAGGGAATACCTTGTGGTTGGCAGTCTGTCGTGGCAACAGCGACAACACATCATCGACGCGGCAGTGAATGACCGGGCGGTGATGGCAGCAATGGCGGTGGAATGGCGGGACACCGGCGGATGACACAGGGCAAGACAGGGCAAGAGACAGGACAGGCAACAGTGAAACCGTTATGGTCAGAGAGCTAACGAACAGATGATGAATAATCTGATGTCACACACGTGTGCACACTTATGTTGCCACACACACACACACACACCAGCGCGCGCGCGCGCATACACACGTGCAGCCCCCACCCCACATACAGTACATGATAATCGCAGTATCATATGTATGCCATAACGGCTATACATCTTCAGTATTCTTCACACAACAGACCAACGGTTGTTCAATGGCCTCGGCTAAAGCAACCGAACAGCCCAGCGTAGACTGCTGGCAACGCACTCTCCTAGCCACTTACACTGGCCACGTAGCGGTAGTCGTCTACCTTTCCCGTCAGGCTGAGTCGCTGCAACAGCGCCGCGTCACCACTGTCAAGTACCTGGTAGAAGATGTGGAAGTTACGCTCGCCGAGCGACTGCTGCACTACACGCGACTTTTCTAGGAGGTAGTTGAGAATGTGACCGCCGACTGGTGCACCCTGTCCATCAGCAGCAGCAACAGCAACAGCAACAGCAACAACAACGATAACAACGGAAAACAGAACACGTTAGCCGAGTACGCATGATGCCTTTAGCCAGTTCACAACGTGCACACACATAATGCACACTCGGCAATGCACTGTTCAACACCCTACACCATCATTCCCAAGTGGCTGTGTGGGGTGTTATGTGAGTGCACTGGTATCAGCAATGCACTGTTCAACACCCTACACCATCATGCCCGAGTGGCTGTGTGGGGTGTTTATGGTATAATTTACGTCACTACGCAACGCACTTAATCAGCAGAAGTTTTTTTAAACAAGATAGCCACAAACCAGCATGGTGCTGGGCAAAAACGCACACAGAGATACACATAGCGATGACAGCAAAAACAGTGGAGGCAGGGCAAGTACACCCGGTCTTACGTGGAAGTCGAACTGCACGTCCATGTACTTGCCGAACCGGCTGGAGTTGTCGTTTCGCGTGGTGGTGGCGTTTCCGAACGCCTCAAGCAGCGGGTTGCTCTGCAGCAGCTGGTCCTTGATCTTGCCGACCTCGCGAGAGTTCTCGCTGACGACAGCCAGGTACTTGAGGATCTGCTTGGTGGCCTCCGTTTTGCCCGCACCGGACTCTCCCGACACCAGGATGCACTGGTCGCGGCGGTCCGAGCGCATGGCAAAGTAGGCGGTGTCTGCAATGGCGAACCTGCACCGGCGGGGGGCAAACACAGCGTGAAAGCGGACGTTCAAATCAATGTCAGGGGAGACATGCTTGCGCGAGCATGTACTCGAGTGTATAAATAAAAGTTAAAGTCGGGCACTTTCTGACTGCTTATCATCTTGTTACAGTCGTGGGTAGTTGCTGCATAACTCGTTCTCATGTGTTTCTTCTCATTTTTCATATATAAATAAAAACATTTTTTTAACCGAATACGACTGACAACAATCAGGATGGGTTAGCAAATGCCTATACACTAACCCATCCTGATTGTTGTCAGTCGTATTTGGATTCTTGTTTTATTGTACTATGCCATGCTTGTCATGGCTATGTAACGCAGCTCAACGTGTTATAGGCTATACCCGGTATACACAAAGAGTAAATTGTCACGTCCGTTCCCAACGGAGTTCACGACACCCGCTAACACCCAGTAAATCAAGTGGCATATGCAGCGCCTAACGGTGGGGCGAGGGGATAAAGGGGATAAGTCTCACAACCACCTGCACACGCGGGTGTGCATGCGCAAGAGAAAAATGTGGTCAGTTACAGAGATCAAAAAACCAACAGGCTCATCTGCTGCATGCCAAGAAGCTTCTGGCTGGAGATGTAAGGAAGAGAATGTGCAGACAATCAAGCTCTTCACAGGACAAGGCAAAGAGGAGAGAGATCTACTGCTTACACATGAGGTGGGAGCTTGAAGAACTCCACAGCGCGGTACTCGGAGCATAGCTCTGTTGTGTAGAGTTTCAGGTCACGGTACGGGTTGACGGACACCAGCACTGGTCCAATGTAGGTCTGTATATGACACATACACACAAACACACACACACACACATACACAGGAAAAATAAATAAAATTAAAGATCCACTCCATAATAATAATAACAAAGAAACCATTTAGGTCTCAAGCAACAAATTTCACTCTAAATCTCTACACGTCGGCTTTATTCAACATGCATGAAGAATACAAGATAGCGACGCCAAGGCCGGCGGAAAAAAAACCCGAAGGCAGGACGGCGGAGAGGATAATTTTTAAGGAGTTCAAAGAACTGTGCAGTGGGAGTTTGATAAGGTGTCAATGTCAGGCTAGAGCCATGGTCAAATTCACCAGTATCAAACACCTCGCAACAGCAGATTATGCAAGGTGCTGAGGCTTGAGACTGTACACTCCTCTATGGCAGTTTGGAGAGAGACTGACTAAGGTGTAGACTATGTGTCGTTGCCTGCCTCTCTATAAATCCCTAACCCTATCTCCTCCTCCCCCCCCCCCCCCCCCCCCCTCTCTCTCATACACACACACACACACACACACACACACACACGCTGACATACGCTGTCACACACACACACACACGCGCGTGCACACATACACACACGCGCGCGTGCACACATACACACACGCGTGCACACACACACACACACACACACAGAGCACATACACGACTTTGAAAACGTAGGATCAGAAAGTAAGAATATGGTAAGCAGGAGAAGTCCACCACCGACAGCTGGGATCCAGCCTGCGCAGGACACCTGATCTCTAATTGCTGCCAAGTACGGACTTCAACAGGTCATTACAAATACCACATCCTACAATAGCATGTAGACAGGAACCCTGGCGACACAGGCTGACATCACCAACTCAGCAAATGAGACACACGCGCATAAAAATAGTACTCAGCAGCATGCTGGCATCCTGAAGTGCTTTTGGAACGCACAGTGCAGCCACTACTAGTACTACATGTACATCCCCCCACAACAGCTGTTTAGGAGCATGGTGGTCCCCAGCATGGCAGCCCATTGCTACCATTGACCATGTTTGGGGAACAGTAAGAACCGGGAGCTGGTGCCCCAATCAATCCCTATGTAATGAATCAGGTAATGAGTCAAACAATTTCAAGCCAATCAGCTGAGCTCAGCCAGCTGGTGGCTATATACAGTGTGACATGGACGAGACCATAATTCAGATTCCGTGTAAAATTAAAAAATGTAATTCTCGTGTGATTTTCACTATTCTGCCAATCTCTGGTAGAAACAAAGGCGTTTGCTGTACACACACTCCTTCTGTCCCTCTCACACCATACATGTACACTGTACATGGATACAGCATGCGACATTACAGCTCTGTGGAGGCAGGTCTCTCAGCTCAGGCGTGGACGATTGAACAGGTCCTTGGATTAAAATCTGGAATGCACTGTGCATGGAGATTGTGGGTTTCCTGCACAGGCCCGCTGCATTCCACGCGATCCAGCAGTGCAGGAGGCACAGAAGCTGTCAAAAACGGACTGCAACAGAATCAGTGCTACTGAACTATGCCTGCCACACACGCACAAGATGCTCAAATATTCAACTTTTCAAATAATCATTTTCTGTAAATGCAAACGCATAGCGTGGACGTGGGGTGAGCAAGAGCGGAGTTCATTTCGAAACACCACGTGTGATAACAAAACTAATTGGGACTTGTTTGTCCTGCAGGCCTGGGTGAAAATCGTGGCGATATTGCAGTACAGGTAGGGGCAACCATGCGACGGACACTATGAGTAACAGAACCGCTTGATTGGACCCAGAGCTACAAGTACGGCACAAACAATCAACAGATCGCACTTTCTACGCACGATCCAGATACTACAACCTGAACTTCTGCTAGTTCTAGGAAAGGAGTGAAGAAGCTACATTAATGCATTGTAGATCTACAAAATTAATGTTCAGCAACCAGTAACACTCAGAATGACCCAGTCGTTTAGAGCAGTACTCAAGCGTCAAACGAACCAAGCAAATCGAAATGTTTGGGCCTACAGAACAGGAGACAACGCGCACCCGTCCTGGTTCGCATGGCATGCTTTGACAGCACACATCAGAACTCGCAGGCTACGACCGCAGCTGGACAACAATCGACCCACCACATGCACGAGTACGTCTTTGGATCCAGTCAGGGTTCACAACGCAACCAGGTAAAAAAATGACACCCACTCACGATCACACAAATACCACATTAGGAACGCCGCGCGCTGTAAACTGAACAGCCCAGGAGGATCACAGACACAGGACGGAAACACGAAGCCGAAGGGGAAGCAGTACGCAACGAAAGGTAAAGTTGACAACCTGTCCTCCATCGGCCACAACTTCAGCCAATAACTCACACAAACATAGACAAAAATTACAAACGATCAACACACAAATACGCCCCACAGCACGAGGACGCAGCAGAACGTGGATAACTACTTACGTAGATGAGCTTTTCATTGAATCTTTTCTTCAGGTTCTCGCCGAAAGCATCCAGTGATCTGAAATCCTCCAGCAGGACAAAGTCCTGGACACCAATCTTATCCCGAGCAGCTAAAGCTTCAGCAGCCATTTCGAACAGACGCAGCGAGTGTCACACACACACAATGCAGTTTGATCTGACAGCTGAACTACAAACTGAGCAAACAGCCCTCGGTGGAAGATGGCCGACTAGCTCCACACTCTACTGAGGCCCTGGCGGCAGCAGATCGGAATAATATGCAGCCACTTGCGCCAGTACTGCCGTGGAGGTGACGATGGGAGCCTGGCCAGCTCGCCGACACCTCTACTCTCGGCTCTGAAGAGTGTGCCACCGGCGACGGATGCGAGCTGTGACAGCACTTGAGCGATGGTGCTTTACGTGAAACGGCTCTCGAACACCGGCGTACTAAGCTGTCAGGTCGGCGAGGGAAGTCTTCACACAGCAACAGCGGAACTGGGCCAGGGCAGGGAAGAGAACACAGTTGCCCACTGTCAAAAACGACTATTTTCAGGAGAAAAGCTACTATGCGATTGATCTCAAATTTCAGATAGGGTGAGGGATGAGCTACACTGCGCCACAATTATTTATTTACGAGACAGGAACGAAATTGATACACACGTAACGTCGTTACTCTGCATCTGTCACACTTGATCAGTACTACTAGACTCAACGAGGAACCGAATTATTCACAAGAAGACGACGATAGCTGCAGTGAATGAAACACCTTGCCAAACAAATCCGTTTTGTCGTTCAACGACTGGAAGTAGTCCGGAAAAATTGTGGATCTTTGAAACTTGAAATGAAAAACAAACTGTGTTTGTCCACGATCTTTGTGCAATGAAATCCGAAATGAGGCCGCATACCAGCCCAAATATGGAACGACACCACTTAGAACCTCGGCACCGGATGCACCAAAACTGGAGTTGGCATGGGGTTTTAGCTGTACTCGTAGATCTACATGAAAACTTTTTTTCTTTGCTACTGCTTCTGTACTGTCCTGACCTTCCGCCATCATAAGGGTAGTTCACACGGCAGTAGATGTAGATCTACAGTGTGACTTGCAGCTTTTGTTAGTTGTTGAGAACTGCGGTACTGGTAGCTGTTAGTTGAGTTTTTAGTCAAGGAGGAAAGGCCAAACTTCTGCTATCGGACTGCAGACAGAGATCATGCGGAGCCGCCAGCGTGAATCAACTGGGAGTGAAGGCAATAATTGTAAAAATTAATAAGTCTCTGGTCTGTATAGTTTTTAAATAATTGGTGTGGATATGATTTCACCTCAGGCTCTTTGCAATTTGGTCAAAAGACGTACACTTCTTCCGGAAAAGGAAATTAGCCGAAGTGCAACTCAGATGTTCGTTTCATCCACATGACCAGAGTCCGGATCTCTTGTGGTACAAGGTAGCAGATGTACTCAATTGGCCAACCCCGGACATGCAGTTGTATGGGTTCAAACACATCCCCCCCCCCCCCCCCCCTCCATGTTCCATGGCTTATTATATTGCCCGTTTGGTATTGCGAATTCAAATAAAAAGAACAACAACAACAACAGTACAGGGACATGGACAAGGGTTCGCTTACTTCGCTATATACGAGTTCGTTATAAGTGGAGTCGACTGTAGTAGATCACACGGCAGTGAATCGGAGTGATGTGCAGTGCTGCATATTTTTCCACACCTACAGCCTACAGGGTGCCCGTGTGTTATTATCTAATTATTTATCTTCCTATCATACCCTGGTTTCTCATCATTGTGTTGCTTTATGCCTATTGCCCGTAAAAGAGGCTGTTGGATGTACAGTGCTGCTCGATGCGCGACACCCAGCGGGTACTGTAGTGACATGACTGGATGTCACAGAGCAGCACCGTACATGTACATGCCGTCATGCAGATGGAGATAGATGCCCCCCCCCCCCCCCCCCCACACACACACACCGTCACCATGCATACGCCCGTCGCAAGAGCACGCAAATCTGCAAATGCACTGGCTGGACGTGCACCAACAGATCCACGCACGGCACAGTCATACAATGATACACCAGAACAGAAGACAGAAGTGAACATCCCCTATACGCTGCCATCATCATGCAGACTGCATGTTGCTGTGTGTATGAAGCTGATCAACACCCCTACTGCAGTGGACCCCACCTACAGTCCATTTCAAAACTATAGACGCGTAGGGTTTTTGAAATATTTCAAATTTGGCTGGACCTTTTTGAGAATAGTTTTCGGAATATTGCCCAGGACCGCTCCACAATTACTCTCATATAGTTTCTAAACGATTGGATAACAGACGCCCAATTTGGAAAAAAATATGCACAAAGTGATCACAGATTGTATGTGGTATAGATTCTGGCATAACGGTTTTTGCCTAGGTACGCGTCTATAGTTTTGAAATGGACTGTACATCAACACTGGACACTGCTGTCATCGTCAGGGAGCCTACACATATGTGTAGGCTCGTGTGTAGGCTCCCTGGTCATCGTTTTAGACAAGCTGGCAACGGATAAGTCACAAGACGGCCGCAACAGCAAACAAAATCGCACTTTTAATTTTTTTACAGATATTAAACTTAGATAGGCACATTCTTGCGGACGGTGTTTAATACATGAGATCTGTGAACAGCATTAGTTGAGAAAGCGGTTAGACATAAGAATCGGTCGGTCAGCACATTAGTGGCACGGAGATGGTGTCCAGGAACTGGCAGCAGTCGGGCAAGATTGAAGAGAACAAGCATTCGGCACAGCAGTAAACGGACAGCGACGTCACCGTACACTCTTACAGCCGTAAAAGAAAGAAAAAAAACTTCTTCGTTGAACCTGAGCAGTACAATAGTTAGGTCAACGAAATATAAAATTAAAGGTGGGGGGGGGGGAGAGAGAACCAAAATATAACACATACAGAAGCTCAGCAAACAGCATGCACGGGGGTGCCTAAGATTACCAGCAAGCACAGCTGTTCAAACACAGGGCACGCTCTCCAAGGTCAACCGCGGAGAGTCAAGCCATACAGCTGATGCGTTTAATATCAGCAGAAAGGAGAACACATGGTTACATAGTATACATACGACTCTCACAGGCTCCGCCAAGTGACTAATACTTGCATGCAGACATTCGAGTCGTAAATACTCAAAGAAACTGAAATAATTCTCTCAATATGTACAAAATGTCTAGGTCGCTGGAAAGCTCGCGCGTAGCGATAACGGCAGCCGGGAATAAGAGTAGCTAGGGGTGCGTGCGACAGAGCCACTGATGTCGACAGTCAGTCAACGTTCAAGTATCGAACAACTTACAGCGTCCCGATACGGAACTCGCGGGCACAATCGGGCGCATGGCGTGGCGCCGGCCTAGCCGCCACAGCAAGTTGTCGGCCCATCTGTCTATCTGTCGCCTTCTTGCGAAAGGAACGAGGAATCTGATCTGTCCGGAGAGGAGAGCGGCGAGTGGAGCATTGCAGACTGTACGGACAAAAAGAGAATAGCGAAAACACGAGAAACGAAGAAAATAGTTGTACTTTGCTGGATGTGTTGAGACAATAGAGAGGTTAAGATGCACGTTATTTCCGACGTGACGCGCAATTTAACGTCAAATTTGGCGTAAAACTCCAAATTTCAACATTAGCTGCAGGTCACTCGCGTTATTCTTCGACGTGCGAGCCAAATAACACGAGCTGAACTTTCACGTCAGAAATAACGTGCATCTTAACCTCTCTAATAAACACTAACATGTTGCATTAGCCTGGAGGAAACAATGTTTACAGCACGGGACTTCCCTTGCTCGTCCTAAATCACGAGATTCGGGGGAAAAAACAGTAGATGTGCGGGATAATTTCGCGGAGTGCCTCAGTTCACAAGTGCGAGTGAGTTGTCAAGCTAACCTGGGGCACAGTGGATAATGAGTCATCAAAGTAACTGATACAACACACAGCAGAAATCAGAGAGACCGACGTCCAAACTGCTATCGGCAAGTCGACTAGTACTTGGCAGGTCCAGCCCGTTCTAGTACATTTATGAGTATGACCTTAGAAGGTCCACGACCTTTGACCTTACAAGGTTCATGACCTTTTATGCAGCGCTGGCATCAAGGTGTGTACGATTGTACTGGACTTGCCCCGCAAAAACTAATGGCGGGAACTTGATGCATACATCCCATTTGTCGTCAAACTATACTTACACCGAAACGCGCTGGATAGCATCGACGTCATGTTCACATTTCCAGATCAAGCAAACAAATGCCCCAAAGCCTGATTCATACTTCATTTCGCATATGGGAAACGTGTCGCATCGGGAAAAAGTTGACTTGAGCTCAACTTCTTTGGCCCATCGCGCGACGATTTTCCCATGCGTGAAATGAAGTATGAATCGGCCTTAAAAGTGCGACCTGCAACTGGCCGCCAAACATTACAATCAAGAACACGCACAACACCAAACTTGTCGCCAAGCTTTACTTACACCGAAGCGCCGCTGGAGCGCGATGGATAGCATCGGCGTCATGTCCACGTTCTCCTTGGCAGCACAGTGCTCGGCGGCAAGTGACACCGGCGTGCCGCCGGGACTTCTCCTGATGTCCAGGCGACGCAGGCGCTTTGCAAAGGAGCTGGGCGCTCTACCTCCAGTGATACCGTTGGTTGACTCGCTGAAGCAACGTGGGGAAAATACAGGGAGGCAGAGGAAGAGAGAAAGTTACTTGGAGAGAACATACATCAGCTGTCCTTGTGTATGTAGAAGAAATATTTCCGCTTGGTTCGAGCAGGTTCAGCAGTTAGGTCACACGCAATGGACATACAAATTTGGAGATTTACAGGTATCTGTCAGGGAGGGAAAAGAAAGAAAGAGAGAGGGAGAGAGAGACAAACACACACACGCGCACACACACACGCTAGCAAACACTGTCGGATACACACATACACACACACACACACACATACCAGCAGGTGGCAAGCACAAGAGGTGGAAATGTTGACTATGATGCTGGCTGCCACAGATAGCCATCAACTTACCGTAACGTCTTCACGTCCACTGTGTTGGCCCGCTTTAAACGCACAGACTTCAGCTGTTGCAGAGATACTAGGGGACCTGATGGATCGGCTTTCTGCATAACGGAAACAACACAAACCGGCATATAGGCAACAAGATAGTCTTAGAGCTTGCAGGGAGAAAATGAAAGACATGGGGCAAAGCAGAGGAGAACATAAGAGAGAATCTGCATTTTTGGTGGATCAGAAATACAGCAAACCATCCACAATCCAATCGTAAACTTATGAACTGGAGGTCAACGGAACCACCCTGCAAGGAGAGAGAGAGAGAGAGAGAGAGAGAGAGAGAGAGAGAGAGAGAGAGAGAGAGAGAGAGAGAGAGAGAAAGAGTAGTGAGGTTGGTCAAAGGAACCACCCTGCACGGGAGACAGAGAGAGAGAGAGAGAGAGAGAGAGAGAGAGAGTAGTGAGGTGTGCCTGACAATACAGCTACATACCTTTGACTGAGAGCGAGTGACCATTCTAACTGCAGGTTTCAGCTTGATCTTCATCAGGTCGTCGATGGTCACAAGAGGCCGTGAGGAGTCTTGACTCTTTGACAAAGCATCTGCAGATTTCTATACAAGAAGACAACAAAGTACACGGTCATACGGTTTCTTTACAGTTACAGTTTGCAGGGTTTTTTTCTCACACATAGGGTCCTGGGAGCATGAGTAAAACATGGATGTGGCAAATGGGATTTAGGCCTTTGGCCTCTGGTTGGCGGATCTGATCTATCCTCCCCCTCCGTTTAGGAGCCGCATCTGACGCCTGATCACGGGGTGGTGGCGTCCCACGGAAGCGGAAAGGTGGTTCTTGACCAGGGAGTTGTACGACTCCTTGTTCTTGACCTGCCCGGTACGCGAACCCGTCGAATTTTTTATATATATATATATTTTACATAGGGAGCATGTTAGAGGCAGAAATTTCGTCGGTCAATAGTTTCCTCCAGCTCCAAAGAAAGGGAGTTCGTCCAGTTGTAAATTTCATCCATGGATCACAAGAGTGTATTGAAAAGCTGGACAAATCGACATTTGTCCGGCATTTAATGTAGGCCAAAAGCTCCTCGGACGAAAAGGACGAAATTAAATTCCAGACGAAAATTTCTGTTTATTCAGTATCTGCTTTGAATCACAATGCATGTATGGAAGTGCTTTGCACTATTGCACCATTTGCAGCACACTTGAATCCTACTGTATCACAGTACCCTTGCACTTGTGTAACCCCTCGGCACTGCTGGGTTTGTTTCTATCTGGTAGATGGGGGCCGTTTCCGTCGCGCCGTGTTTGTTTGGCACTCGGTGTAATAGTTCCCCTGCATCATAACATCCATGCAGGTCAGTTGTTTACTGTGCATGTACTCTGGCATCACATCTACTGTACAAGCAGAAAGTGTCGGTGGTGTAATATCTTCGGTATTCCCCAAAATCGGCGGTTTGGTGGAGGGAAATTTTCGGTAAACCCGTTTCGCAGGTAAGTGTACTGGTACTAGCACCGAAATTTTCGGTGCGTTTTACTTTCGGCACCGACGTTACCGAAAATAAAACACCACCGAACCTTCTGCGTTTACAGTATGCTGGTCGTGTGTGTACTGTGTATGTATGCGCGTACAGTCAGACCTCGCTTACCCGGTCCTCTTTTGTCCGGATCCCTCGCCATCCGGAAAAAAGTCGTCGGTCACCGATTTACTGGAGATGCCATGCATTCATACAGGATGTGTGTTCGACTATCCGGTTCCCTCGCCTATCCGGATATTTGTTGTGGAAAACGGATGCGTGCGGTTATGCGAGGTCTGACTGTATTCGCTACTTCTTTCGGGATGTTGTTCTTTGCCATTGGAGTACCGTAAAGTCTTGTATAAAAGCCGCACTTGAATAGAAGCCGCCCTCGAATAGAAGCCGCAATGTTGGGCCCATCAAATCACACATAAGCCTGGTTTTAGCGTTGATATACATAGAAATACCTGTCTTGTATAGAAGCCTGTCTCATATAGAAGCCTGCAAAATTTCACCAAGAAAGTCATAGAAGCCGCGGCTTTTATACAAGACTTTACGGTATGTTAGGTTTTCTCTATGCCTTGTGTGAGTGCATCTCCCACCGCTTTAGGAGCTGCATCTGCACCTTGATCCAGAGAGGGTGGTGGCGCTCCTGCGGATGTCGTAAAATCGGCCTCCAGCCAAGTCTCCAGTGAATTGTGATTGTGTGTGTGTGTGTGAGTGTGTGTGTGTGCGTGTGTGTGTGTGTGAGAGAGGAGAGAGAGAGAGAGAGAGAGAGAGAGAGAGAGAGAGAGAGAGAGAGAGAGAGAGAGAGAGAGAGAGAGAGAGGAGAGAGAGAGAGAGGAGAGAGAGGAGAGAGAGAGAGAGAGAGAGAGAGAGAGAGAGAGAGAGAGAGAGAGAGAGAGAGAGAGAGAGGAGAGAGAGAGAGAGAGAGAGAGAGAGAGAGAGAGAGAGAGAGAGAGAGAGAGAGAGAGAGAGAGAGAGAGAGAGAGAGAGAGAGAGAGAGAGAGAGAGAGAGAGAGGTAGTTTGAGCAGTCTAATGTGTCCAGGGATGTTTAGGAGCTACAGTCCATTCAAAAATAATTGATCTATGACCAATTTCAAATAGAATTTTGGCCGTACTACAGTCCATTCATAAAAAAATGGGTCCTGGCTCTGGCGAGCTCCCGTATTTGGCGATTTTTCGTGATTTCATCGTACACAGTGCAGTGCTGCGAACTTTGAAATTTGAAAAAGGGTCCAAAAAGGGTGCCTGAACTGGGGTTCGAACCGCAGAATGCACTGTTGCAGGCGGGGTCAAACGGCCTGGATTTTGATGGTTTTTCCCAATTCAGTGCTTTTGGGGCAAAACCTGGCCGAAATCCTATTCTTGCTTTGGCTTGCTTTTTGGACAAAAAAACTTCAGAAACATAATTGGAAGAGGATTCCATATGGGATTGCAGAAAAAAATTCTAAAAAAACTCAACGTTTGACCCATTTATGGCCAAAAGCTAGAAGTTCATTTTTTTCTGAATGGACTGTAGGCTAAACACCCCACTTCTAATTTCGGCCCAAAATGGGATTCAGAGTATGTTAGGTCAGCATGTCTGCACAACTATGCATGCCAAATCCGGTCGAAATGCAGAGGTCAGAGGAAACCTACACGGAATACCTGTGAAGTCCACAGGTAAAGTGGCTACCCAGGTATCCCGTGCACAGTCGAACTGCGGACAGTTTCAACGAATGAAGGATACAACGGGGGTATTGACTATTGAGCATGCGTATGCGTGTAACCGGATCACTCCTTACCAGCACACGGAGCACAGAAGCCATATTATTATTATTATTATTAAATTTTTGATAGGGCAATCCCCACAGGCCTAAGGATATACAGTAAAACCTGTAACTAAAGACCACCGTGACTAGCGGCCAGCCTGGACCTACAGACCACTTCGCCAGGCACGGACGGACGGTCTCACATTCATATAACTACAGTGCGTTTCAAAAATATAGACGAGTGATTTCAAAAAATGGTTTGAGCAGCATCTGTACCACATAAAATATGTGATCACTTTGTACAGAAATATTTCCAAATTGGGCGTTTGTTATCCGATTGCTTAAAATCGATATGAGAGAATTGTGGGAAGGACCCGAGCAATATTCCGAAAACCATTCTCCAAAAGCTCGAGCCAAATTTGAAATATTTCAAAAATACCACGCACCGTCTATATTTTCGAAATGGACTGTAAGGACCACCTGCCACTAAAGACCGCTGTCTCTGGCCCCAAGGGGTGGTCATTAATCACAGGTTTTACTGTAGTTTTAACTAGTAGGTCTTTCGTCGTACCATTACTTTTACTTTTCAAATCGAATACAGAGGTGATCAAAGCCACTATACTCGACTTGAAAAGCATTCTTCTGTGCTTCGTGTGCCGATTTGTTTCCCTCCAAACAAGAATCTAAAAAAATAAAAAATAATAAAAACTCGACGGGTTCGCGTACCGGGCAGGTCAAGAATAAGGAGTCGTACAACTACCTGGTCAAGAACCACCTTTCCGCTTCCGTGGGACGCCACCACCCCATGATCAGGCGTCAGATGCGCCTCCTAAACGGTGGGGGAGGATAGATCAGATCCACCAACCATAGGCCAAAGGCCTAAATCCCATTTGCCACATCCATGTTTTACTCATGCCAGGCCAAGAATCCACTAGTACCCAATCACCCCCCTTACCTTGCCACGCTTTATGACGAGGGGCTTGGGGAGAAGTGTGGCCATCGGTGGTGGAGGCGGCGGCGGTGGTGCGGGTGCAGGTGGTACTTGCGTCATCGGCGACGAGGAGCGCGACGGCGACACGGCAAACGACACGCCCTGGCTGACGGAGCGACGTGCTTTTTTCTGCAGGGTAAGCAAAAATGGAGCACGTACACGCATGCAAACACACACGCACACACACACACACACACACACACACAAGCACATCACATTATCCGCATTGAGGGGAAATTGATTGCAAGCTGGCATGCTGAGTTAGAGACAAAGGTGCTCCGGGGAAAATCTGTGACGCAGTTTGAGGACTGCATGCCAACCAGTCAGATGTAGCATCTATACATGCAGGGTGACGACAAGAGAGCAATGCACCCGAAACGATGTGCATTTGACCCCTACTCGATAGGTCTAAGCGATCCATTTGTAATAATAGTTCACGAACCATAGAACACATTCCGAAGTACATACGAAAACGACAAGACGAAGAGCAATACTTGTGATAGTTGAGCAAACACCAGATTACAGCCCACGGGGAAAGTGGGAGGAAATAGTCAACCTTTGCCAGGTGACTAAACAAGTGCAGAAAGTGATCATGGCATGTGGAGTGTGCTGTGTGGAGCGTGGAAGCAACATGGCTCACATCATGTGACCCATAGGCTGACTGGAGTTTGAACTTTGAACTAACATGGCTGTCCCGGATCCCCGTATGGTCACGTGATGGATGATGCTAAACCACTCCAAACTGCTCACCGGGCCATATTTAGGCGTGCACGTCCAAAGGTCAAACGCAGCAGGATGCACAGTCGGACACGGGCACCAAACATGTCACGCGTGTGTGCGTACGGGAAACCGTAAACATCACACCAGGGTCTGTACAAACTACCGTGAAGTACTGTTGATCAGCCCCCTCTCTAATTGCTGCCCCCTCTCTAATTGCTGCCCCCTGTCGACTTTCTGCCTGTGAAGCGACTTCGGCGTATACAACGAAATACGATGTTGAACCGACGCATGCACTGCTGTACACAATACGATCCAGTGCAGGATGAAAATATTAAATGTGCACAATTCAGCTCATCGAGTCTGATCTTCCACTTTGTTGTACATCGTACTGCAGCCTTGATCTAATTCCCGTCCCCTGCCGAAAACCCAGCTGGGAAGTGACATGGCGTGGGGGGGGGGGGGGGGCAGATCAACGGTACTTCACGGTACAATCATTCTCTTGCCTACTGTCACGAACATCAGTCGTGATCATTTATGTGCCCCCTTTTTGGCACCAAGCGACTCCTTTTTTGTATGCACCCAGCCATTTCTGGCTGTCCTGCAGCTCGCAGTGTGCTCTCCGGAGCTCCGTTGTATGCATGTACCCATTTCTGGCTGCCGTGCATGTCGCAGTTTGCTCCCCTTTCTGTGCATGTATCGATTTCTGGCTGCCGTGCATGTCGCGGTGTGCCCCCCTTTTTGCGCATATATCCGTTTCTGGCTGCCGTGCATGTCGCGGTGTGCTCCCCTTTCTGCGCATGTATCCGTTTCTGGCTGCTACAGCTCGCGTTGCGCTTCCTTTGCTCTCCTATGTGTACACATGTCCGTTTCTGGCTGTACCCGCATGCCTATTTCTGCCTTCGCGCTGATCCCTGAGGAATCGCTTGAGCCTAGTACGGATTCAGTGATCTGAATGTAGCGCCGTTCCCAGCAAGAACTTGCCGACTTTATATTTTGTTGCTCTACAACTAGTACAGGCCCCTTTTCTCTAGTCTTCTTCATGTCTCTTCTTAGAGTAGAGACCAGTTTTTTCCTGCTCTAATCAGTAGCTCAGAGCTACTTCAATAGCAATAATAAAACCTTATGAAAGACAAAAAAAACTCTTGTGGATGCGATGACAACGACGACACCTACAACTGCCAGTACATAGGCATTGCACGACCACCAGTATATGTATTGGCTCAAAACACTGCCCAGACCATAATCAGCGATAGCAAACACGTGCATATTTAAAAACCCGCGTCGCCCAAAGGTGACTGGAACAGTCGGTCCGGTCCGGGAGGCAAAACTATCGTTTTACGTTCCATCCGCCCGGGCCGTCTCCCTAGGTGCTGCCATCTTTTTTTAGTTTCACGTCGACTACAAGCTAATTCTGCGCTTACTCGCTGCGGCTGTGCATCAGAGCATCAGGGGATGAGTTTGCAGAGTAAAGCTCTCCTGGTGGAGCATGTACTCGTGTTGGTGCAAATCCATTCCAAGCAATTCAGTGTGTGGTGTTCGCCCGGCCATCTCGTGACCTCCCCTGTCCCCAAGAAAAGTCATAACTATGTTCCAGCCACTCGTACGTGTGCGGAGTACACACACACTTGCGCACGTGCGAGCGTACGCCCACATACACGCGCGTCGGCGCGCACACACACACACACGCACACACACACGCGCACACACACACACACACACACACACACACACACACACACACACACACACACTTTGACATCTACTCACCTTCTCTTTTTTCAGCTGATCCTCGGCAGCCTTGAGCCGCTCCTTGGTTTCTTCTAGCTCTCGTACTAGTTTTCTAGATGGTATGACGTAGTCCAGACCGTACGAAAACCATGAGACGGCCGACGTGAACAGGCCCGAATTTGGTCCATCCATCTCGCCCTCTGGGCAGCTGTCCGCTCCGTCACTGCTCGAGCTGTCGCTGCGTATGCGTGTCGAGCATCCCATGGACATCCGCCGCCGCCCGCCGCCGTCCTTGCAGCCCTGCAGCATGGCCGGGTTCATGGAGCACGTTGACATCCTGCGCTCCACGTTGACCTGCTTACTCTCCTTGCGCTGTTTCTCCGCGAGCCGCTTCTTCCTCGCTCGTGAATTGGGCATGATTCCGGCAGCGTCAAGACAACAACAAAAATCCTGAAACCGTTCAGTCCGGCTCTCACCGCCGATTCAGTCCCAACAAAGACCGACTACGCTCTCTCTCTCTCTCTCTCTCTCTTGGACAATCTACTCAGTCGCTGTGGCGTGTTCCAGGAAAATCCAAACGCGCAGAAACGAAGTCAAATCCACGGCATTCGTCAAGTATAGGCCATTACACCTTCAGAATCAGCAATGTCCTCTTGCTAAGCCAGGCTAAAACACAGTTACTCGGCCGATCGGGCCTAAAACACCAAATCCAGAAGGCCACCACACAATGGCGAAAGAAACACAAACAAAACTGACTGCAAAATAATCGAACGCTGCCTTCAAGCTTTTCAAATTTCGCGGACTTGTCATCTTGACAACCACGCGGGCAACGGAACGGGCGCAGACCTGCTCGATACGACACTGACTGCCGTGCGTCAATACGGCGCGACAACAATGCGAATCTGGCTGAATGCCAGTACAGTCAGCCGTAGGCACAGTGGCTGCACTACCACCCGTAGTATTTCCCAGGGAGCCCTCCCTACACATACATTATAGCAATAAAAACTGCTTTATGGCAGTTTTCTAAAAAAAAGTTATTGTGTTCTAGTCCATGGACCCCGGCTAAAAAGTAAGAAATTAACGAAATGTGATAGCCGAAAATTCAAATTTCACACAAAACCTCACAATAATCACAACACTTGATATGCTGCTTTCAACACTAAACTTGTACTGCACCAACAATTGGCAACATGCATGTCATGCATGCATAGGAAAGAGGATCACGAGGGGAAAAGGTCTTCTACGAGTACATGTAGCTTTTCATTCTGTGTGTGATTATTGTGAGGTTTTGTGTAAAATTTTAATTTTCGGCTATCACATTTCGTTAATTTCTTACTTTTTAGCCGGGGTCCATGGACTAGAACACAATAACTTTTTTTTAGAAAACTGCCATAAAGCAGTTTTTATTGCTATAATTTCTTTTGTTTTTTCTGTCACCAATCAATGGAATGCCCTACTAGTATATCAATATGTAAATTTAAACTAAATGATGGCCTTCACATCATATCAAGAGATCAATACCGTATTATCTTCTACTCGTACCAATTCCTGCACTCGCTCCCAGGTATCTTCGTCTGTCACTCTACCAAAAGCTAAAACTCGTTTCGGTCTCTTTTCAGTTTCTTTCATCGGTTCCGACCGTTGGAATGCACTCCCCGCTGCAGTCCGCTTATGCTCTTCACTGCACCTATTCCGTAATTCAGTACTTTCATTTCTAGGGTACCCTGTAAGAAGGCCTTAGGCCTGTGGGGATTGCCCTATCAAAAATTTGATAATAATAATAATAATAATAATATTATACGCATTGATGTGCAAGCCTTTTCTTGCAGAAAATGGCAAAATGCATGTTCTTCTGCGGGGAAACATGTGAGTACGTAGTGGTGGACCGTGGTGATACGTTTTTTATACGGAGGTCATTCTGTGCATGTTGCTGTAGCAGAATTTCATGACTCTGCCATAAAATTGTCTTGCCTTTCAGATATTTCAGATCTCCCAACCCTCGATCAGATTTATTTGAGAAATGTAACCAAGTGCGTGTCGCAGATGTTTTTGTTGATTCTGTGTTTATAATGGTTTATAATCATGGGTTTTCGTGATAAGGTCATCCTGCATCATATTGCACTGAAATCGTAATCCTGTTGATGTCGATACAACTTTTGGAAGTAGTTCAATGACTTCAATCTGTTAGTCCACGATTTTCTAAAACAACACAGCAAAAGAGGAACAATAAACATGTATTAAAATGTAAACAAATACATTGCTGAGTCCGACACCTCCTTCCGACAACGACACTGATCCTGAGGATTAAAGGGGCAAGGCTATGGTTGGAGGTACTGAGAGATAAACAAGGCACTCCATAATAATAATATCTTACACATCTTTTGGTGAGTATGAATGATATCCAGTCGAACCTCTTTAGGACGAACACCAAGGGACCGATGGTATTTATTCTATAACCAGTGAATACAATTATTTCTCCAATAGACATACGAATAGATTTCTTCTACAGCGAAAGATGATTCTAAGCCACACCAACTCATTGACTCGTCTCATATGAAACAAATGAGTCACTACAATAGAGAGGTTCTGCAAAACGAAAATGCGTACAAACTTTCGTTCTACGTTATGAAGTGCGAAACTTCGATAGAACTTTCGCAACTTTGGACGCGAAACTTGTAGGGAACGCGAAATGAACTGTCGTAGGAAAATTCGTGAGATCGGGTCATGGCGTACGTGCACTTGGCCCGTGCAAACTACGAGAATGTGCAGAACGCGCAATTCGTGCAAAAATTCGTACACACTTTCGCAAGGACTGTCGCGAAACTTCGTTCGAATTTTCGTTTTGCAGAACCTCTCTACTGAACCTTTCTTTAGAAACATGACGGCAACTGAAGCAGCAACAGAGAAAGTACGATACATGTACAGCACATTCTTGCAGGTACATGTACTACAAACAGATTGCAGATCGTAATTCTTGCTTTGGCGGCACGAAACTTTATTTGGGGCAGTGCAATCTCGGCGGTACTCACAAATAATTGAATCAAACAGCCCAGACTCGAGTAAACAAATCCAATCATACAAGTACAAGATCTTCACGAGACGAGACTGCACCCGTTGGCTTGTTTCGTATGAAGCAAACAAGTTACTGATCCTCTCCACAATAGAGATTTTCCCTGATATGCGAATATATTTTGCAAACTCGGTCAATGGGTCCTTGAACCTTTCCCTCCAGATTGGGAACTGCCAACGATAGTATGCCACTGACTAGTGCCTTACTAGTAACGTACCAATATTTGCAATGTACAATGAATATGAGTATTTCGACAATACATCTAACATAAGCCTTACCGTCCAGAAGGTGAACTCGCGTTCTTCGCACACTGTAGACAAGGGCAAAGAGATAAGAATGGATCTAAATCCGAATAAAATCAGCACACGTTTCCGTAAATGAAAGGGTGAGCATAAGCAAATGAATCGAAGGAAACAAAGAGATCCTGTCAGCTTTCCTTTATTTATTTTATTGCATTCCGCCCAAAATCAGCACACTTTTCGTAAATGAAAGAGTCAACACAAGCAAATGAATCAAAGGGAACTGGTCAACTCACCTGTCATTGAGTAATATTCCGCGAAAGGAGGTCTCAGCAGCGCCGAAACGAAATAAGCCAGGCCAGGAGACGAAATATCCGAAACAGCTCATACAAGAAGCAGTTCCAAAGAAGGAAGTTCCTCGCGCATGCACATCCGAACGTTCGAACACGGACTGCACTGCAACACAATGTCTGCCGTGCACGTGCACCGCACGCGGCTACCACCCGTTGGTAGATCTAATACCGAGCACCTTACGTAGAGACTTACGTAGCCTAACTGAAATACCGAGCACCTTACGTAGAAACTTACGTAGCATAGCGGTGTCGTTTTTCTTGCCATGTGAACACAATAATAGAAAAGCTGACAGGATCGCTTTTCTAAATGTACGTGTCATGTACCCTGGTATCTCCTCTGTCCAAAGCAGCCCTTGCTAGCTTCAAAAAGTTGGTGGACAGTAATGCTCGAGATTCTGCTCGAAAAGCAATGAAATTGGCGCAGAATCATACAAACATTATGGCATGCAGGTACTTCATTGAATTCTGGCTGCTCCATTTACATGTACATGTATTCATCCACATACTAAATGCATGTAACATACCAGAAAAATGGTACCACATTCTGCCGATTTTTCTGCCCGCATTATCCGCCAAAGGATACCGTACTGGCAATATAATATATATGGTCGCAGTGAGGCCATGAAGCGTTACATTGGCACATGTTTACCGCACGCAGGGCGTTACATGCAAAGTCGCACAGGAGCCGTTACACAGGTTTCTATATTGCCGCATCATTTTTTTGCCGCATCATTTTTTGCAAACTGCATGCAATGAAAAGATCGCCGCACCCCGCCGGACGCATGTTACGAACGCAACGAAAATTTGTCGCACTAGCCTGGTCGCGCGTTACGCCGCACCCCCTGCGTTACGCGTTACGCGGCAACATAATTGCCCTCTGTGATCTAATGTCGCCGATTATCGCATCTTCCTGGCCAGCATCTACATGTACATTGTACATGTGCATGACATTGTACTGAATCATTTAGAACATAGAGAACAATAAACAAATAAAGTTTCCTCGGTGCAATGCTATTCCATCCGGAGTCATGGGTCTCATGGCCAAAGTCGTGCGAGCTACTCAAAAATGAGTTTGGACTTTTCAGCGCTAACTTCTTTCCTTCTCTCCGATTGCAGCTCCCTGCTGCATCCTGTCATTGAGGATGCCGATACCGTTTCAACATTGGCAGGCTGAGCTGAAATAGCAGCTAAGCTGCAGAATTTGAAGACTGGGAGCAATGAAATCAGTCAGTCACGATGGAGCGCTGAACCGCACCACTCAGTTTCCTCCCACGTAGACTCTACTCGTACCCTGCGTGTTTTAGAATAACGAAATGCGATCTATGATGTTGTATGAATGTCGATGGAATGACTACACAACAAATTCAGGAAGTGCTGTAGAACTTTGACTCCGGACAAATTCTGCCCAACCAACGTCAATTTTAAATGTTATTCACATGACTCACAGTAATCCCAGTACCGGTACTGTAGTAGCCCATTTTCTTTTCCACACTTTTCCGGACATCGAATATTGCGCGGCTACTGTTGCCTGATGCAGTTACAAACTATGACTTCTTCTGGCTTGTTGGATACTAGGTAGGCATTGGCGGATAATGCTCGAAAAGGTGGCAGATTCTGCTCGAAAAGCAGTGAAATTGGCAGAACCATACAAACCTTATGGCGGGCAATTCCTCGACTTCTGCTCCATTATTTTCTTTATCCACATTCCAAGCATGCATGAAACTTACCAGAAAAAGTACCGAATTCTGCCAATTTTTCTGCCAGCATTATCCGCATATGCCTAATACATGTACTTGGAACTGCATGTGATAGATCGTGCAATGACTTCAAAAAGTCCAAAAAATCCAATCCGATCGCATGATACCACCAATGGCAACGGTTTTCGGCATGCCTTTACGTTAGTTCATTGTCTTGAACATTGGCACCCTACCTACACCTATCCCGACAACAATAAAACAGAACCAGAGGGGTACTCCTCCTCCAACACCACTCATGCTCCTGCAGAATCGTCCAGGCCCAAGTACGTGCAAAGTCTCTTGCCCTTGGTGGGTTAATATTTACTTGTCCCATGTGCGCGATGATAACCAGCTGAGCTCATTATGGCCCTTTAACGGCTGACAGACTGCACATGCACTGATCCATTTTATTCTGAAATTAGTCTTGTAATAAGGACTTGCTTTATTTCATTTTTCGTAACTTTTCTGCTCAACAATGGGGCAAAGTTTTTCGGACTACTGCACTACGAGTGTCTAGGGACACGATCATACGCTAAGTGAAACATGAGGGAGAGAGAGAGAGAGAGAGAGAGAGAGAGAGAGATAGAGAGAGAGAGAGAGAGAGAGAGAGAGAGAGAGAGAGAGAGACATAAAGAGAGAGAGAGAGAGAGAGAGAGAGAAAGAGAGAGAGACAGAGAGAGAGAGAGAGAGAGAGAGACACTCGGAGAGAGAATTCCGGACTCCGAAAGGTGGACTGGATAAGTTCTGGGCTGCGTGATCCACACTAGTACAATGTGGGAACAGTAAACAGGGGACTGTTCAGGGAGAGATTGCTAATCTTGTTATGGATTACAATCACCCAAAAAACTGTGTGTTGCAATGTTATTATTGGAAGAGTACACTGTGACGAATGTTGGTGTTCCATTGGGGTGTACTCGTTCCAGTTTAGGTGGACTCTTGAGCGAGCGTGCATTTAGAAGCACTTGCGGTGGACGATGCTGGGGCCGGACTCATCGTACTCCTGCTTGGAGATCCACATCTGCTGGAAAGTGGAGAGGGATGACAGGATGGATCCTCCGATCCATACGGAGTACTTGCGCTCTGGCGGAGCAATGATCTTGATCTTCATGGTTGGTGGGGCAAGGTTGGTGATCTCCTTCTGCATACGGTCGGCGATACCTGGGTACATGGTGGTACCACCGGACAGGACAACGTTAGCGTACAGGTCCTTACGGATGTCGACGTCGCACTTCATGATCGAGTTGTAGGTGGTCTCATGGATTCCAGATTGCTCCATTCCGAGGAAGGATGGCTGGAGGAGAGCCTCCGGAGCACGGAAACGCTCGTTGCCAATGGTGATGACCTGGCCGTCGGGAAGCTCGTAGCTCTTCTCCAGGGAACTGCTCTGAGAGGCAGTGGCCATTTCCGCCTCAAAGTCGAGGGCAACATAGCAGAGCTTCTCCTTGATATCACGGACAATTTCACGCTCAGCAGTGGTGGTGAAAGAGTAACCACGCTCGGTGAGGATCTTCATGAGGTAGTTGGTCAAATCACGGCCAGCCAAGTCGAGACGGAGGATGGCGTGGGGCAGGGCGTATCCCTCGTAGATGGGGACGGTGTGGGACACACCGTCTCCAGAGTCCATGACAATACCAGTGGTACGGCCGGAGGCGTACAGGGAGAGCACGGCTTGAATACCGACGTACATTGCTGGAGTGTTGAACGTCTCGAACATGATCTGCAGAAAATACACCAGTGTGGAGTTTTTAACTCGGATGTTGAGCCAATAATTAATGTAGAAAGGAAAAGAACATTATCAATACGAGTTAAGAGTAACTGTCCAATGTAACTAGATACTATAATTATACTTGTACAGTCAGAAAGTGCAACAACTGGAGGCACAAAACTGACAGAGTACTGAGACATTCGACGTCCTGACACCTAGCTTCAACACATCTCCGTACACATATCACACATAATTATGTCCTTTTCCTTTCTGCTTTTATTATTGGCTCAATAACCGAGTTTCAAATAATAGTAAATAGTATCTAGTTACAGTGGTGGACAGTTACTCCTAACTTATATCCATAATGTCCTTTTCCTTTCCACATTTATGGAATTTTCAACAGAATCATAGTCACGCTTGTAAAGTGGCCATCTAAGCTACAAGCAGCATTTATAACTGTACATGTTCCAGTCACCCAGTATGTCTAATGGCCTAGCCAACTGGAAGACACGTGAGTTTCCACTGATCCACGGACATTTCAACAGTACCAATGCCACGAGTTACTTCATGAGGACTACTGGTACCTGACATGTCGACTGCAGTCTACACATCTTGCATTCTGCCTATTTTTGATTACTGCTGCATAATTTGGGCTGGCATTTCTAAAACACTGATTGCTCGACTCGAAGTTATGCATAGGCGTCTTTTGAAAATATTATTTCGGCTTCCTCGCCTGACTCCAAGCGCAGACTTATACCGCCTTGCTTCTGCTGTGCCGCTCTCGGTCCGCGTGCGTTTTTTGGCATGCCAGACAATTCATAAAATTAAGCTGGGCATTGCTCCTCTTCATGCTCTCTCCTGCCTAAGCTGGTTTGCTCAATCTCAAGACATGCGCACCAGAAACTCTCTCCGCTTCCCTATTGCGCGGTCTGCCTCTATGCAAACATCTCCTCTCTTCCTTGCTTACCGCCATTGGTCTCTCCTCCCACAACATCTAAAATCCTGCCAATGTTACAATACATTCACACAGCTACTGCAGAATGCAACATACTAGTTGATATCCAGCCCTGCCCTAGCTTCTCCTGCTTTTCAGTTCCCCTTTCATTCTTTTTCTTTCTCCCCTCTAGCTCTATTACCGCCATGGCTGGCTATCGCCCACATCACCATTTCATTGGCTAGTGCCACGTGATTGTGAATAAATAAATAAAATAAAGTCACTTCAATACAGTAAAACTTGTCAAGGCGACCACTCGGATAAGGCGACCACTCTGATAAGGCGACCACCGGCCCCAGAAGACCACTGTAACCAGGGCCAAGGGATGCCATTTGCAGTCAAATGACCCTGGATAAGGACACCACCTGGCAACAGAGACCACATTTTGAAGGTCCCTTGAGCAGTCGTCTTAGACAGGTTTCACTATAATTATAACCAAGAGTACAGAGTTTAACTCTGATAGCAAGGGTACATATTAAACTCAGTTATATACCCTTGCTATATCGAATAGCATCTCCAAGGGCAGGACCAGCAGCACATTATAACCAACTACCCCATGCTAGTATACTGTAGCTGTTTCGGCCATCTAGGCCTCGTCACTGAGTCATCAGTACAGCTACTACGAGCTGTCCTGTCCCTGTCAGTTACCATGGTTACAACAAAGAAGCATGACGAAAACACCCAATTGTCACAGTGGACACGCACCCATGGCATGGGCATCGCTCACCTGGGTCATCTTCTCACGGTTGGCCTTGGGGTTGAGCGGGGCTTCAGTAAGCAGGACAGGGTGCTCCTCGGGTGCAACGCGAAGCTCGTTGTAGAACGTATGATGCCAGATCTAAGCAAATCGCAGCAGACACAACAACAAACGATTTGATCTCTAGAAAGACAAAAGCACCAGAAAACTGAAATCCAATTGGGCATGTTTTAGAGAGCTGAAACCGAAGAGGTGCTGCACTTTCCTACGTCTGTTCGAGCTAGAGCATCTGGAAACAACTGCACAAGAAGAGCCGCTACACAGAGCATTTACGGAATGTCGAGCAGGCCTCATGTGTTCCAGCATTGAGCGAAAGAAGTCAGTCGTGCCTTCGGTACTTTGAATTTAATAGGATTTGCAAAATTAATACATGTACATACACAGATAGACGAAAATAGTTGTGGCGATAATTGTATAAGGAAGTGTGTTACTCCCCACCCTGCAACTCAGTGCCAAGTGTCAAGTCAAAGTCGTCAGGAAAAGTGCGAGGTCCAGTGCGGTGAGCAGCCGCCTTTCTATACGTGCCACGTAGACAAATGAGCAAATGTTCCTCGATATGGTTATCCTTTCAACGTCCAATCTTCCTAGATAATCTCAGTGCGTTGTCGATCGCTGGCCTTGGGTCTTACCTTCTCCATGTCGTCCCAGTTGGTGACGATACCGTGCTCGATGGGGTACTTGAGTGTCAGGATACCTCTCTTGGACTGGGCCTCGTCTCCCACGTAGCTGTCCTTCTGGCCCATGCCGACCATCACACCCTGATGGCGGGGACGACCGACGATGGAGGGGAAGACGGCACGGGGCGCGTCGTCACCGGCGAAACCGGCTTTGCACATACCGGAGCCATTGTCTACGACAAGAGCAGCAACGTCTTCGTCACACATTTTGGCAGTAGATTAAGAGTAAGACAACGAGTCCTGAAGGTTGAAAAAAGCGAGAAAACTGTCAAGTACTTCGAAGTAAGAGACCACGATAGCTACACAGCCTACTAAGTACTCGCGGCGTCTTTTATACAAACTCGACGGATGCGCGTATGCGAGGTTCCTGCTGACTACATACTAGCACACGCATTTATGGTATTTTCGGTAGTTCCGAAGACTCGAGCAGGCGTGCGAGATTTCGCAGTTCGCGCATGTACGGAGCGCGATTTAACGACGCCATATTCCTCTCAGCTAGAACGCTGATTGGCCAGACGGGACGGGTTGCACAAGCGCGGGTGGTGATGGATTCTGAGAAGAGCGTCTGCTAGTCTTCGTTAGCTGTCGTTGCGCTGCAGTGTTTCTGCCGAAGCTCGATTCGCAGCTGTTTGTACCGGCAGCTACCAGCGATATACGACCTGCCGTATTAGCACCAGCTGTTCTTGATCCTCATTGTCGCACTACAGTCGACTCCACTTACAATGTATATCTAACTCCGCCGCGGCATGGAGGAAATTTCGCGATATGGCAGTTCATTGCACATGTGTCCCCTGCTTGAGCTCATACGGAATTGACCGGTAGGGCGTAGGGTCCGGCGGATTCTGCCGGCAGAAAAATTGGCAGAATTCGGTACTTTTCTGGTAAGTTTCATTCATGTTTGGTATGTGGATAAAGACATGGAGCAATTCGAGGAATTGCCCGCCATAAGGTGCTTTTCGAGCAGAATCTGCAACCTTTTCGAGCATTATCCGCCGGTCCCTGCGGTAGGGGTCTACATTGTGACATGCACATACAGCATGCCATGTCTGCGTCTAAAGCAAAGCTAAAAAGCTAACCAATTCTTCTGTAAAGACGTAGCGAAAAAGGCAAGGTGGTTGTCATGGTGTTGAGTCCTACCTGACCCGCAGGCTGTTCAGCTGAATGGTATTTTTATTCCACCCGTACAACGTGAGGTTCTCGATCTATGCTTTTGCTTTAGCTCCATAAATTGCTGTTGACATTTGTTCCATTATTCCCTGTACTCACCCATGATGAGAAGGGAACGGAAACGTTCGGTTACTAAATCGGCTTTACTTGATTGTGTGGATTGCGTCGGTGCTGACACTTCTTTCGAAATTGGATACGCCTCCAATGTTTTCCATGAACGATCACAAAAATCAATTCCTCTAAAGGCAACGTTTGTTTTATCAGTGTTCGTCTTAGCGAGGTCATCGTTTACTGCACGCGGGGTACAGGATCACTGGGGCTGTGGAATCAGACACTGGGACCGGCGGATTCTGCTCGAAAAGCAGTGAAATTAGCAGAACCATACAAACCTTATGGCGGGCAATTCCTCGAATTCTGCTCCATTTTTTTTATCCACATACCAAACATGCATGAAACTTACCAGAAAAAGTACCGAATTCTACTAATTTTTCGGCCGGCAGAAACCGCCGGACCCTAAATCAGACGCTGGGAAAAGCATACTATGGCAGATTGATCATGCAATAACTTGCTGCTTCGAATAGAAAAAGGCACTCTCCAATGGAAAGCGTGGAAACCGTGAAGCACACGTTATGCGTTAGCGTCCACCAGCTGGACTAGATTTTTTGAACAGACGTGCACAATTTAGCACCAGACTGACTAGGAGTACGGAGACATTCCATTAGGGTCCGGTGGATTCTGCCGGCAGAACAATTGGCAGAATTCGGTACTTTTTCTGGTACGTTTCATGCATGTTTGGTATGTGGATAAAAAAATGGAGCAGAATTCGAGGAATTGCCCGCCATAAGGTTTGTATGGTTCTGCCAATTTCACTGCTTTTCGAGCAGAATCCGCCGGTACCTACATTCCATGGCATAAACGTGAGTTTGAGCACTGCTCAATGGCGCTAACCAACGGCCTTCCAACGTGTTCTTACCGTGGCCTCCAATCGTATCACTTAATCTCCCTTCATTTTTGATATGCTATTACCAAGAGTACATCTAATCTTGGGAGGATATGTATTCTTGCTATAAACCTGAGTATTATTTATTCATAATTAATTATGTACTTCTTTCTTCTGTTCCTTTTCTTTTTGACTTCCTCTTCTTTTCCTTGTTAGCCGTGGTTGGCTATAAAAACCCTGCAATCGCCACGCAAAGTGGTCATTGGCTACCCCAGCCATGTATTGCTTGGAATAAAATAAATAAATAAAGACTTTTCCCGTTTATGTCTTTCCCTCAAACTAGTCAAAAAAATGTACTCTTACTATTGCCGCTACTTTAGATCTTTGCCTTGAACTAGGGAGCACTGATGTACTACATGTACTTCGGACCAGGGGCGTAGCAGCCGGTCCGGCTTTGGCCGGATCACTTTTTTCTAACACCGGCAATGCCAAAAAGTGCCCGGAATGCAGGATTTTTGCACGCTAATGTCAAACATTTCCCGGGGGACAACTAGGGTCCAGCGGATAATGCCGGCATTATATTCGGCATTATACGACTATCCGAGCATCAGAGCATTATGGAGCATTAGAAAGGAACAAATCGAGCATTATGTGAGGTTTGAGCGGCATAACGAGTTTCATAGTGGATAATATCGGGAAATCCAAGGTTTTTGGCAACAATCGGCTACAATCACGATCATGAGATGTTGTCTGATGATTGGTTTTTGCCATGAAACTCTGAGTAACAACGAAACAGCCCTATTTTACTCCTTTTGTGTACCTCTTGCGTACTGCGCTCAGCCCATTCCGGGCATTTGAGCACTATGCATTGTACCGGCGCATGACTTTGTGATTGTGATTAGCACTAACGCTACATAACTATTGCTACATAAAAACGTTATGATTGTAGCGATGTAGTCGGGTAAATGTATACAAGCCATTTTGTGAGGCATGCCCAACCGAGGCCGAGGCAGTTCAAGTGACACAAATCCGGAGGAATTATTTACGAGGTTTCTTTTACTTTTAGAACAATGGAGAGCTATGGAGGAGACATACGCGAAGTGAATATCAAACAGACGAAGAAGAGTTTTCTAGTTGTGCCAGAGGCTCTGGCGATAGCATCTCTAGCGATACTGAAGTAGACACTGATGCATTGCTAAATTTGGACCAGAATGAAGGAGCGGCTATAAACAGAAAGAGCTCGTTTCAAAAGAACTGCCTTTGCCGAGTCCAGCTCAGGAGGCTCGAAAAGAACTAGAATTTCTCATGGACTCAGTACCAAGTCGATTGCTCAGCAGCGCCTGTCTTACTTTCCTGATGAAGCGCGTACAGTTAGTTGTGGACGGTTGTAATGCCAGGCCTACAGTCAAATGCTATCAGAAGGGAAGAGTATTGTGGCAAGCCATACGTCTACACACCATCTCAAGGGGAAGATGAGAGCACAAGCAAAGGATGTAGAGTGGCAAAATAACTTCTGACCACGTGTTTTCAGGATTTCCGCAAATGGGAGGGCTCTCCAGCATCTGAGATCGGATCTCAGGAGCTGGCCTCACGTCTCGTGTTTCAGATGAAGACATTATTCACAGGGTGGATGCTGTGACAGCTTGTCTGCAGGCAGGAATACTATTTGCCAAGATTAACTTCATCCCAACAATGAATGACTACCTGCAATAATGGTTTCATCTCTCACTATATGGATAATTAAGGGAGGGATTTGATACTGATAGTACCGACTATTCTACCACAACCCTGCATCAAAGTTGGAATGGAGAGCAATCAATGGAGAAGCGATCATGTCTTATAGTGCTAAGAAGTAGTGGAGCTCGTCAGAGATAAGGTGGCAACTTCAGATGCAGATCGACGATATGCATAATTTCCTGGAAGTTTGACAATGTGCAGACTTTCTTCCATTTTTGCCCCAAACCAAGAGCATTATATCCCTTGTTGAAGCATTATAATCAGCATTATAAGGCAGTTTTTGGAGCATTATGGTTAGCATTATACGAACATTTTCGGAGCATTATCCGCTGGACCCTAGGGACAACCGGCCCTCCGGCCGGACCACCTCCATGCTCCAACGGCGGTGCTACGCGCCTGCTTCCTGGTTTGAACATTTACACCCATGGCTACTAGCACCCCTATACTAGCGTAAACAGCACTAAACCAGTGTCTGGTGGATCCCCCTCACCAGGGGCGTACATAGGGCGGTTCCCGGGATGCCCGGGAACCAGTAAAATAATTTCGATGTGGGTAGATCTACGGAGAATGTTTTGATCAAGGCCCAGCGTGCATGCAGTGCATGCATGCCTAGGCCGCGTAGTCGCCTGCAGTCCGCCTGACCGGCCGAGGACGGTGACAAGGCAAGGTGTAAAAGTGCTGCTGAGGCATTTTTGTGACACAGCGTAGATCTACTGAACTGGGTGCAACGAAGTCTCTACATACGAGTTACAGCGATTCCTCGATCTCAGAGTCATTTCCTTTGCAGTTTGTTTCGACAAAGTTGATTACATTTTTGACGACGCTTTCGCTTTGTGGAAAAGAAAAATGAAGAATCGACATCCAGAGAGCCAGCGCTCTATTCAGAGCTATTTTGAGCAGGAGGCAAAGCGTGTAGCCAGTGACGAAAGTCAAGCGATAGATGAGATTGCGGACGCACCTGACTTCCAAGTGGAGTCTGCAACGAGCAGCACAGAGGACGGAATCGTCGGCGAAGCTGTAGAGCGACCGTTGTTGGAAGCTGCTGGATCATCCAAGACTTACTTCAGTGACATTGGAGTGTGCTGGAAAGGATATTCTGAAAGTGTACCTCCACGGTGGAATCCCTGATTCCTCCGAAATTTGCCATACATGGAAAAGACTTCCGTCATTGACAATCATTGTGCGCCACTAGCTGCACTGAAGGCGAAGGATTTCGTTTCCTGTGCGTGTCCAGACGGGTGGCAAACAGCGCCGCTTTCAACTATCCTGGTTGGAGGAGTTTCCCTGGGTAGTCTTTTGACCGGCGTGCCATGGTGGCTTCTGCTTGCCCTGTGTAATGTTTGCTCCAGGTGATTCGAAGTTTGGGCAGCTTTACCGCAGTCCTCCCGAGAATATAACCCGACTCAAGACTGAGCGTGTGGATGTGCTTCAGCGACTCGTTTCACGGCATAACATGAAATCGTCCTGCTGAACAAA